GCAAAAATAAACACAATAAGTCAGTAAGATTACAAGTATGAAGAATGCAGTTACTTACTTAAAAAAACAGTTCTTTGGTCACATTCACACAGTGCTTATGCTATACAGGCTAAAGAACTAATTCTACATTCTCTCTTTTTTTTTAAACTACAGCTTATTAGGTTGTATGCACACAAACACATCATGTGAGATAGAAAGAGAAGAAATAGTTAAAATTGTACCACACGTATGTGATCAACATAATTACATTACTCCTACAGTTCAGAATGGGTAAAACAAAGATTAATTCATTAATACTCCACCAATGAAGGCACTTCTCAGACTTCAAACTACTCAGTGCATTCTGAACAAATACAGCTGATAGACCTTTGAGTTAACTTTCAAGTCATTTTGTAAAAAACAGCATAAAAGTACTTGAGAACCATAAAAGAGTAAGGGGCTGATTCAAAGGAAATTGAAGTTAATGGAAAGCCTACCGCTGATTTTATTTGGCTCCCAGTAGCCTCTCTAAATATTGGAGACAGATTTCCCCTAATTTATATTAAACCTGATACTGCTTAATACAAACCAATTTACATTAGATTTTTATATTGAAGTTCTTCACTGCAAAAGTCAAATGTAGCATATGCAGGAGGTCAAATATGAAAGAGAATTAGGAGCTAAAACATACTGAATACATCATTACTTCTGAAAGCTAAACAGACTGTCAACACTGAGTACATTTACAGGGCAGATTTAAAAATCTCCTCTCCAATTTTTAAATACATTAGAAAAACAAATGCCACCCAAAAGCCATGCATTTTTTAGGAAAAAAAAAGAAAAGAAAAAACAAACAAACAAACAGAAAAAGAAAGGCAACCAACAACAAAACACTCCAGTAGAATAAATATGAGCAGATTTAACCTCTTGCAAGGATGTAAAGTTCACTGCAGTATGATCAAGATAAATAAACACATTTGATTCTTACTGACTCTCTGATACTATTTGCTTGACGTGAAATATAGAAATAGGAGACAGAATCAAACATCTTGTTCTGAACTGGAACTGTCAGTTAATGTGTCATAGTGATTTTTGGGACATTCTTTTCAGAACTATTAGACCCCACTCTTAAACCAAATGAATCTTAGCTAAGTGAAAAGTCACACAACCCTCAATTTGAAGGGAAGTGTGGAATTTGACTTTAATGACAGAATTGATTAGATTAGACTAAGAATGTTAGCAATTTATTCTTTCTGGAAGGATAAGTTCACCTACCATTCATGTATATAAACTGGCCCAATCAAAAAGAAATTATTTTTACAAACAGATAGAACGGAAAACATGAAAGGGCAAATGCAAGAAAACTCATCATTCTCTGATGTTTTGGATCTCGCCAGAACCGTGGGGTATCTCTCGCCATCTGCTCCTTACAGGAGGGATGTTATCTGCTGAAGGCAACTCCTTCCAAACATCCAGCATTTGTATCATTACTGAGACCCTTTGAAGCTTTGCAGAGAGATGTCTCCCAGCTTCCAATTTCTGCTCACAACTTTATTTGGAGTTACTATCCATGTTCTGTCTCTGCACAGATAACAAACATGGCAACATAGGCTTAAAGGGCTTATTCAGATTTACTTTGCCTACCATAGCAGACAAGATTAATGGTACAGCACAGAGATTCATTTAAGACAGACTTCCATTCGTGCTCACAATTTGAAAGAAAAGGTTTATATTAAATTATATGCAGTCGGCAATTTTATCTTAAACTTAATGGGATTCTTCTGTAATTGTTCACCTTTATTTACAAAACACCTCAAAGAACATGTAAGAGTCAGAGCAGGGCACTCCTCTCGCAAGACAACATCCACCCACTCAACTGCTGCCCTCAGCTCTCAGCTTTTGTCCTGCTCTTGAGCACCAGCATTCCTACTAACTTCTTGTTCTTCCACCTAGCCTACCACAAGCATTGCCTTTGTTCTACATGATCCTCTTATTTACTGGGTGTTTCTAAAAATAACATTCATGGTTTAGCCTGTAGTCAAATACTTTTAAAACTCACAGATGATTTTTCATTTCCAGCTCACAACTGAAAATAAATTGGCAAATAGTGCTGATTGGTATTCCTAACACGTTTACCTAAAATGCTTAAGGCTAATGTAAATGCAAGTAGAGATAATACAATCTTGTTAAATACTGTATACGATGAGTATTTTGCATATTGGTGATGTAAGGTGCACAGTTAGCTCACACTAGCATGTTGCCAATAGAAGTGGCAGATACAGTAAGAAGTTGCTATGCTGCTTGTATGAAGAGAAAGTCCATTTTTTCTTTCATGTTTTGTGAAGGGTTCAGTTACATCTAAACACACACTGGAGCTGCACAGTCACTTACTTACACAGATAACCATTAAATCAGTCCAACCTAACTGCAATACCTAAGACTTAGTATAAGCAGAGCCACCTTTCTTTTTCTAATCTGAATTTTTAAACTTCTAGAATGACTCTGCAGCACTAAGTCCCTGCTCTTTGTCACCCAACACGTCCATTTTCTCCAGTTTCTCACCATCCCATTCTCTCTTTAATAAATCAGTCCTCTACCAGTGAAAGCACTTCTGCTCCAGCTTCATTCCAAGCAAAGTAAAGCTCGTTCATAGATGGAACTGACGAGTCTATCTTAAATATGTATTTAAAAGCTTCAAGGAACAGACTTACATTGCTGAAAATGAGCTCTGGCGTAATTTTCGGAGCTAGTCTTACCTCTCTCTGTAATTACTCATACAATCCATTTTTGGAAAATGTGGCTTTGTGTCACAAAGTCTAAGTGCTCCTTCGCATCAATACTATTGCTGCCAACTTTGTGTTTTTAAAAAACTGTTAACTGTCTACAGTAGCGATGTTCTGGACTACATGCACATCAGCTTAAATTCTTTCTCCATTCTACAACTTTGTTTTGTTCTCCCAAACATTCTGTTACTTTATAGTATGTTGCTACACTGTAACGTGACTTCATAGCACATCTTGAGTGAAGGGTGTTTTCCATAGCACAAATCTGTTTTACACTGCTTTTGGTATGCTTTAATAAAACAATGTAAATGTGTTACTGTCTAAAGCTTGTTGAAATTGCAGCCTGATGGAAAGATTTGTACTGCTATAAGCCTGACTTAGAATTACTTTCTTTTTTTCTTTTTCTTTTTCCCAGAAATTCACTATTACTGGAACAACTCTGTCCCCGTGAGAGCCGAATACTCTCTGGCAAGTTGTCAGCTATTCCAACCCAATATGTTCTTGCTCCGCTGTTGCTGCAAGAGTCTGCAAGACTGATAGTGGCTGAGGGATCAGGCAGAGAAAAAACAGGCAGAAAAGATGAAAGGTTTCTTTACTCCAGCAGCCATTATTGCCACCTCTTTTGTCTCCTGTATGATCCATGACTAAAGGTGTTAATCCCTCAGTAAATACCACTCCATCATGATTAGCAGCGGTCAAAGAAGCAGCTCAGTGTTTAAACTTTGTCAAAGCTTCACAGTGTCTCTATTTCTAGTTCTCTACTTTGTAACTTGTTTGGTAAAATACCTCTTGCTTTCCTTTTGTCTTTTTTATAAATACACACTTGGAAAATTTCAGACAAATGCAGCCTTCTAGAATTAAAGTATATCATGTTTGGTAGCAACCCAGAAAATCATCGAGGTAAATATGAAAACTAACCATTAAAATTGCCTGAATGTTTAAGAAGAACATATTTGCCTCAGAGAACTGACAGAAATGCAAGACAGAATTCAACGTTCAGACTGCACTAGCACTGCCTTTTAACCATTGCTCATTTCATGGGGCTTCTTCCAGAGCAGGGGATGGAGATGGCCCATCCCACAGTGCTGTACCTCTGTCCTTTTCCTGTCCTGGGGCCTTCTGAAGGGACACTGCTCTACAAAGGGTACCCATGCCTGCACCTGCTGGAGGCAGCCCTTGCCCAACACTTCTTGCAGAGTTTCAGTGGCTTGCAGTACGCTGTGGGTGTGCAGGGGCTTGGGTGTACTCCCCTATGTCAATGTCATTTCTTTGAGTGAGGTCTATGCTTTCCATTAGAGAGCATTCAAACATGGGTTACAAAGATAGGGAAGATAGGGTTTGTTCTGCCCAGAGCAGAGGAGCTGAGGGAAGGCCTGATGGTGGCTGCAGCTCCTCACATGGAGTGGAGGGCAACGCTGAGCTTTGCTCTGTGTGACAGCAACAGGGCCCGAGGGAACGGCACGGAGCTGTGTCAGGTGAGGGGCAGCTGGGGTTAGGGAAAGGGTTTGCACCAGAGGGCAGTGGGCATGGAACAGGCTGCTCAGGGCTACAGCTCCAAGTGCCGGAGTTGAAGGACAGCATTCTGAGACACTGGGTCTGAGAGTGGGTGATTTTTGGATGGTTCCGTGTGGAGCCCAGAGTTGGACTCTGTGATCCTTGTCAGTCCTTCTCAGATTGGGATATTCTGTTATGCTATGATTCAAATGAGTGAAAGATCTCTACAGCTTGCTGTGTGCAAAATACTTCAAGGCCTGCACAGCCTGGAGATTAGCAAGAAAAATACCAAAAAACTTACCAAACCTTAAACTCTGAGCTCTCTGCCAGACATTTCCAAAGAGAAGCGTCTCCCTGCAAGCCTTGCAACTTGGCTGCTTGAAGCTATGGGCTTCATTCTGAGGTAATGGTTTCCATCTCAGGAGTTTGGAATTACGAAGGACCATTATAAAGCGCTCTTGGTGACCTAAGGAAATGGTCACAGCACAAATAATTTGTAACTGGCTTGTTTCCAGCGTTTAACTGCACATTAGAAGACAGAACTATGCGTTGGAGGAGATGAAGACGCTGACCACGAGGCTCACAGAGCACAGCAGCCCCAGCACTGCCCGGCCGGGGCCGGCATGGAGGCGGGCTGAGGGCCCGGCCCCCCGAGGACCCCCGAGGGAGGAGCCGCATTAAGAAGGGGATGGGAAGCCGTGGCCTTCAGAGCCGCGACGGCAGCGGAGCGGGGAGCAGTGGGCGATGCCGGGGGGCGCCCGCCTGTGGCTGTGCGCTGCCGTGCTGGGCTGCCTGGCGGCGGCGAAGCCCCTCCGGAGAGGTAAGCGGGGCCGGGGGTATATGGCCAAGGGGGAGCGCCGGGTGGGCGGATGCTCCGCTCTGCTCAGCGCAGGGAGAGCAGAGAAATAAAACAGCCCTTACACGGTCTCCCCTCAGTGGCTCAGGTCCTCCCTCGGTGCTCGAGATACGTGCAGCGCGTTTCGCTGGAGTAGGAGTAACTTCATGAACTGACAAACTGAGCCTTGGTACCTGCGGGAGAACCTGCGGAGTGAGGCTGCCTGGGCTTTGGCTTTAGCTCTCCCATTCCCTCTGGTCCCTGTTCGCTTTTCTAGGAATGCTGATAGTTCCTATATATATTTTTAAATTGTTGTGCAGCTACTTACAAACTTTACAAAGCAGCCCCTGAAGTGTAGATGTGAGCGGTGAAAAGTGTTCTGACACCCTTTCTGATAATGCTGTGTCAGTGTGTGCATGCTGATTGTTTCATTCACCATTCCTTGAGCAGGAGTGTTTCTGTTCCCCTGCACTGCAATATTCTTCTTTGCTAAAATGTCTGTAATCATGCTTTTCTTACATTTCTCATCCAAACTAAGGGTTTGCTTGTGATGATTACATTTATTTTTATATTTCACTTTAAAAATGTTATCCTAAATAAGTATTTCAGGATAACTTCTTTCAAAAAGTCACCTCATTTCTAATTGAATATTTTGTTTTAAATGCACAAATGTGTTTGTTAGAAACAGCCTAAGCTCTAAAATTGCTGTGGGATGCAGATACACTACTTCCTTTGCAATCAGTAGTTGCAAAAGAATGGACACTCAGGATCAGAGTGCACACAGAGAATCATAGAATTCCCTGAAATGGAAGAGAACATGAGAATCATTGAGTCTAACTCTTACTGGTTGTGTTTATTTGTTTATATCCTGGCCTTTGGAGAGCAGAGCATACAAACTGCACCTGAAGAGCTGTGCCACCAGTCCCTGTTTGGCAGCACTCCCTGGGTGCCAATGCCCTCGCACCAAAGAGCCCCTAAGAGTTCCCTAGCTCACGCCAAGCCTGAGAGCAGGTGGAAACCATATATCAGCCTTTCCCTCAGTGCTTTGTAGGTGGTCACAGAATAATAGAAAGGCTTGGGTTGGAAGGGATCTTGAAGATCACCCAGTTCCAATCCCCCTGCCATGGCCAGGTTTGCAACCTACCAGATCAGGCTGCCCAAGGCTATGTCCAGTCTGGCCTTGAACGCTGCCAGGACATTCACAATGTTCTGACATCCACAACTTCTCCAGACAGCTTGTGCCAGAGCCTCCCCACCTTCTGAGTTAAGAATTTCATCCTAACAACTAAAGTAAATCTCCCCGCTCATTTATAAGCCTCCCTCCAGTACTGTAAGTCCGCAGTGAGGTTCCCCCCAGGGCCTTCTCCAAGCTAAATAAGCCCAGCTCCCTCAACCTTTCTTTGTAGGAAAGGTGCTCCAGTCCTCTGACTGTCTTAGTGTCCCTCCTCTGGGCCCACTCCAACAGTTCTGCATCCTTCTTGTGCTGGGGGCCCCCAGGCCTGGATGAAGTACTCCAGAGGGGGGAGTACCTCATGAGGGCCGTCAATAATCTCCCTCTCCTTGCTGGCCGCCCCTCTTTTGTTGCAGCTCAGGATACAGTTGGACTTCCAGGCTGCAAGAGCACACTCCTGGCTCATGTCAATCTTTTCATCTACCAAGACCCTAAAGACCTGCCAATAACACTCAGCCAAGTGTCCTGCCTAAAAATTTAAATTTTGTGTCTGGACTGTGCTTAGAAGACAGTGCTCCAGAAACAGTTGGCATTGGCACTTCAGAGATTTAATCTCTGTCTCTTGAAAATACTTGCATTGTAATCTATTCAGACAGATAACTGGAAAAGTCTACCAAATATGGAAAGCAACCAGAAAAATCTCAGAATAAGTCAGTGTAACATAGTGTGAAGTTTAGGACCAAACAGCAGGGATGCATTAACTAAAACAATACATTAGAGTTGAGGTTTTATTTACAGCTCAGGTTTTCATAACTCAGGAGTGGATTTAATAATCAGGTCTCCATCTTTCAATTGAGAACCAGCTCTCCTCCTAAGTGTCTGTGATATGAGTGGGTCTGGTCTACAGGGGTTACTTTCTCACAGCAAAAATAGCATTGTTATTTTTGTATTTATATGCCCATAAATACAACAGTTGTACTTGCATCTGCTCTTGGTAGAGTTAGGTAGCACAACAGTTATACTTCAGATAGGAATATTTTAGTCTGTATTACTGATTACTGTATTACTGATGATGGCAATTATTTTCAGTTGTTTTGCAGAAAAGGAGGAAAAAGAAAAGGAAAAGGAATGAAGCAGTGCTAGACAACATGAGATTTCAAAAGAAATAGCTATGAAAATGCTAGCTAAAAAGGGAGAAAAATATATGAAGAGCTGTGTGACATTTTAAAGTGATGTGCATAATAATAAAAAATGTATAATTTGATCTTTAGTAAGATTTATAACCCTATTACAAGTGAGTACAGTCAGCTGTTTTAGAGATCTATCAAACGATGATCTAATTAAACTGCAGAGAAAAAAAATAAAGACTTGTCTCATGTCTCACTTGATTTATTGATGGAAGACATAAGAGATATTAATTGTTTCTGGAGTGTTTCAGTTACAGGAAAGAAAACTAATGAGAGTGCTGTATGGAAAGTAGAATTCCAGTAAAAAAATAGAAGACAGGAAGAAACTTTCGCCATGGTTCGTAAACTGCTTGAGCTGAAGTTTGCTTGGAAAAACACTTCAATAACACACATGACTGACCTTTGATTCTTCAAGGGCTTTTCTTCAAATTCCAGTGAGGGATAAATTCTCAATAAGGTCAACTTGTATGGACATGAATTGCCTACAGGCTATGACAAGCAACTCAGAAGCACAGTGGTGGCACAGTCAATCACTGTGCTTCCATCTGCCCTTAGAGGGTAGAAGATAAAGCTATTGTTACCTGCTTGGGTAGCCTGAAGCCACATCAGATTAAATCTTTAGTCTTTGAAAATCTATAGGAACCTCATGCTGTGCTTGAAAGAAATGAGATCTGTTGTTTAGCTAGGGCATCTTCTACATTCAGAGGGGGATATTGTTCGATTTAGAAACTATCTTAAAATTGTAGTTTTCTGAACAGTGATATGAAACAATGCTCAATAATGCATCTGGTGCAATTTGAACCAGAATATTCTTCTAATCAGTGACACATTTACACCATGCAAAACATGGGACAAATATTAAAAACCCTGGGTGTGAGAACCTGAGGAATAGAGTAATAATATTCAAAATGTAATATTACACAGCTTTAATTACAGCTGATTTTTTTAAATTCATCCCTACTTTGACTTCCCAAACATATTTCTGAGCAAGAATGACCATTACTATTACATTACTTGCAAAAGTACCATTAGCTGGAACTTCTACTATCACTATCTTTGGAAGAAGTAATCTGATTCCAAAGACTGATCTTACAAATTGTAGGGTGCAGTTTCATTTCTGAAAGAGCCTGCATTTTTTTTAGAAAATTGCTACAACTTCTACAGATTCTGATTCCTAATTTTATGTACCAGCAATTTTGAGGTTATTTTGAGGCCTTAAGTTCACTTAGATGTCCAAAAATCTGTTTGTCAGTTGCATTTAGTGCATGCCAATCATGCACATTGACTTAAAATCTATGATTAAGTATCTATCAAATTCCATACTTATACCATAATCTGCTTTTATACATGCAAACTAAATGTAACTGCAGCATCCATCCATTTGAGGGCATTCTTCATTTAGTACATAGGAACACTGTGAAGTGTTACCCTATTTGCAAAAGGAAGACCCTTGGACAGACCTTTCTCATCTTGAAGTAAGATTTTGTTCCTTATGTATCAAATGTGCCATTTTTCTTCAGGTTGTTAGGTTTCATAGCCAGTAAAATGGCAAAATCCAGAGAGAAAGTGTACACTGTTTCAATTACAAATTAACATGCATATTTATTTTTCATTTATTGTTCATGTAAACAGGGGAATATTACTGTGTGATGAATTTATTAAATTTTAGAGTGTTAACATAGTTATTTGTTGTTGCTATTAAGTTTTCACTATGTTGCTCTGTAAAAGTGATCTCGTAGTGATCCTATCTCCTTATTGTCTGATAAAAAAAACACCCTTACTATCTAACATATCTGTTAAGCTCTTCATTTTAATGCTCTTGCTTTACAGTTCTTGAATGCCATCCTGGTGGACATCAGATTCTGCAGAGCCCTTACCGAAGTGTAGATTTTGATTCATCCCACCTCCAGCAGTCAGCTATTCAGGATTTAATATGTGACCATTCCCTAGCACCAGGATGGTATCGCTTTATGATTTTTGATAAGCCTGCTGAGATGCCAACCAAGTGTGTGGAGGTATTATTGCACCTTGTTTGTTTATGAAGAATGTACATGTTTTTCATAAGAATAATTACAATTATGGAGACTAATGTGAAAAAATGTCTCTGAATGAGACTGTATTAAAATATGTTAATCAAGCAATAAAGTTTATGTGTTGAAAAATGTTACACTGAATGGAGTACGGCAAAGAACTCATGTATCTTTTAAAGCACTCAGAAACTGTTGTTTTAGTCCCTTCTAACGGTGTCTCAGTGCAACATAGGAGGGATGTCCCATTTTAAAGCTGCAGCTGTGTGATGGGCAGTCTGCTCCTGAACCTACATGTGAGCATAGAAGACATATCCCAGTAATTATCTGGGTTTTAAAGTGATCATTCTAGAAGGAGGAGATTACTCCTAAAATGACTTCAACTAAGCTAAGCTAGTAACTAAGCTAAGCTAACTGACTAGTTTCCATGTCATCTGCGAGTCCACTGAGATTCAAGAACTACTTAGAACATGTAGTACTCTAGACTTCTGATGCTTCATTTTGGAATTATTTCAACATCTTTTATCAGTTACATTTGAAGAAGATATATCTTCGTAGCTTCCTATATGAAAACATTTCCTTATTTTAAAAAAGTGTCACTGTGTCATCAGGATGTATTATCTGTGATCCCGTGATTGTATACTGAATTGAAATTGCTTGGGCTCAGTCTCTTTAAAACAAACAAACAACAAACAAACAAAAAAAATTCTTTTAAAAGAAATGCAAAACAGCTAAAAATACGAAAAGTACATTGAGTGCAGGACGTTATTGAAGAGGCTGCTATTATGTGGGCTGTTACGCTGAAAAACCTTAAGCAAAGTGTATTTCCTGAAGGACTTCTTCAGTTAGATTTAATAGGAACAAATTAACTTAATAGTAGTATGTCTCTCAAAACAGACATTTCTTCACAGAGAATCAGGATGATAAAGCAGGGAAAAAAAGTCTGTTTCTCAGAACACAGGGTAGTCCAGCAAGATAGCCACTCAGATAACCTAGAGGAGTTTTAAAAATCTCACCCGGTCTCTCTGTGCTTAGTAAATATGCAGTCAAAAATGGCTGCCATCCATATATAGAAGAGTCCAGGTAATTACGGTTGGCAAGAGATTGATTCAAATATTATTCAGCAAATGAAATTCATGCCCTGATATCTACTCTTCTTTAACTATTAGGAAAAACAAGGCCATTATTTTGAAATAATCAAAATCAAAGCATTAAAATTGAACTTAAAATGGATATCTTGTTTAGGAAATTTCCTTCTTGTATGTGTTTTATAACTATACTTAATCCTTATCAAAGGTTCTGGCTCTGCTTAAACAATACATCATCCTTCTCATGGATTCTGTTTGCTCAGTAGAGGACTCAGAGGACTGATAGAGGACTCAGGCACACTCAATGTCCAACCTTTGACTTGCCTGAGTTGCATTTTGTGAAGAGGAGTTATCTTAGGCCACAAATAAAATATATAATATAGTTAATGTATATAACTAATAGAACCTCTTTTTTAAAAATATATTTTCAGCCAAATCATAAGAAAAGCAACAAAAACATAGAACAAGTAGATTGGACACAAATAGGCTCAGGAGTAAGAAAAAAGTGTACTTTTGAGGTGAATAATTGCTAAGTGAGCATGCAGTTGTATTTAGATTTCAGACCAAGAAGTGTAAAGACAACATGGTCTAAGACCAGGTTTACTGTCTGGACTGTTTCAAGCTACATGGCAGCTTCCCTAATCTGAAGACCTCAAATAGCCACAGTGATGTCAAGAGGATGGAGGGCTATTCCACAGCACTGTACTCTTCACACTTCAACAAAAAAACACTGAGCAAGACTTTTGTATGGGAGAGAGGGAGCACCAGCTCTCCTTCATCACCTGTTGTGTTGGCATCTGAACCACAGTCCTTGTGGAGTCCTCTGCTTCATAAACATAAACGGATTTACGGCTGCAGAAGTTGTGGTGGCTCCTGGTTAAGTTCTTCAGGCACTAAATTGTATTTTGCATATAGAAAGAGATTTCATGATACTCATATGAGCACTTAAGTCTCTTTTATATGTATTTGTGTTCAGATTTGAGAATGTAAAAAAGCAAGCTCTCAGTTTCACCATCTGAACTTTGCTAAAAGCTAGTGCAGGAATATGAGGATTAAGTATAAATGTACATTAACTATTTTCTGACATTTTTTCTCTGGTGTTTCAGATGAATCACTGTGGTACTCAAGCCCCTGTCTGGTTGTCTCTGAAGGAGTCAGAATCCATGCCTCGACCTGGTGAGATCAAGCAGCTCACAGCCTGTGCAACATGGAAATTTTTCTTCAGCATGTCCAAAGACTGCTGCCTTTTTCGAATCCCTGTCAGTGTGAGGAACTGTGGAGATTTCTTTGTTTACTTACTACAACCCACACAAGGATGCATGGGTTATTGTGCAGAAGGTGAGAAAGTATGTACTCAGACGCATTTAAGAGCATATATTTATTAGTAAATGTGATTTTCAACTGAATATCAGCATAACTATTTCTTTCATTCTAATCTTCTTAAACAGAAGTCTGATACGTATTCAGATGTCTAACATATCACCAGATGTTTTCTGGTGTTTGGTCATTTTATAGTTATTCAAAAATAGCTGAAAATAACATAAAAGCAAGTAAGTGATGTTTCTGTGAAAATGTGGTATTTTGTAAGATATTTTGCTGATTATGTTTGGCAATAGCTACACGTACTAAAATTTTCTGCACTCTTAATTTTGATGTGATAGAACAATGTGTGAATTCACACTACACCCGTGTAATTTTCAGTTGATGCTCAATTATAGTTCAGAGCCCCCCCAAAATAAGGATCTATTTTTTTTCTTTTTCCATATAGTCAGATGGGGATGTAAGACACATCTAGAAGTCAAAATTTAGACTGCCTACATTGGCACTCACATAGTGTGTATCATCATTACTGAATGTCTCTGGTATTATGTGTAAGCATACATTTTCTTTAATAAACTGATGAAAAAATATATATATACATCATTATACATATATACATGTTTATTTTTATTAAGAATATTTTTGTTTCTCTAATTCTTCTAAAGAAGTTATAGATATTGTTAGTGACAAGTCTGTGTAGTAAGAGATTTTTATCAGTTCCTGTAACACACTGTCAGTGAAAACACTTGCAATACTTTTATGCACAATATATTGTCTTGCTCTAAGTCATGCTCTCTATTACCAACTGCTTGCAAAATCTTAATAGCAAAACTGCTGGTGTTTTTTATGGTGCTTTATGACCCATCATTATTCCTTTGGGATCAATTGTTAAGTAATTCTCTGAGAGGTTATTGGCAGAAGAAAGAAAGAAAAAAAAGCCAGAAATAAGACATTTCAGAATGCAAGGGCTGAAGCCATAAAGAAATCTTGCAGTATGTGACTTTGCATTTGCTTTCGGTGATGCGTTCATGAAAAGAAAGAGAATAAAAATGATCGGCAGCAGGCTAGCAAATTTTTACTGCTTGAAGACAAAACAGGGAAGAAAAAAAACTGAGTTGGCTCTGGTGACTTCTCTCAACTCTGAAGCCCTTTGTTTAGGATGATATTTTTCACATTTTGTATTTTTGTGCTGCTTTTTATATCTAGGTTACCATGTGTACTGTATTTCCTCTTTAATGCTGGATAGCTGTGTACACTTGATGCAGATTTTCAAGCAGTCATTCCTGTGCAATACCAAAGCATGGAACACCAAAATATGCTTTAAATTCTTTTCAATGAACAAGATTTTCAGTTTTGCTGCTTTTAACTTAAATTCCTTTTATTCCTGTTCAAAATATTCTGATATTTTCATGTTTAATCAAAGTTGCACTGGTGGTTGTTGTTTTGTTTGTTTATATGAATGATGTTCAAAGTAGCAAACAGTACACCTATAGACATTGCTGAGTCCCATGCTGGAAAGACATTTTTTTTCCTCCTAAGTAGGTCTGCAATGATTTTGACTGTCCATGGTTACAGTTAATAAATAAGTATTTAGATGTGGGTTCTAAAAGAGAAAGTATGCATTTGAAAGAATAGCTTAATTCCTTTTTATTCATTAATAACATTTCTAGGTATCTGCTGCATATATCTGCATTAAAGATGTAGAAGTGGTAAAACGTTCTGTACTCTTGCTCTTAGATACAATCACTCAACTTGTATTTTCTGCCTTATGGTTTTGTAGTGACTGCTACTGTAATTGTATATGAATCAGATCACAACATTTTTTCTGCTCTGGTAGATTATACTTTCATTAGTGTCTTTTAATATTTGATGTTTATTTTTCTTACTGTTGATTTTTTTAATACGGTTTTGTTGTTTTTTTTTTTTTTTAGCATGGGGCAATATTTTAAGAGCACTGGTATAGTTAAGTGTGTAAATATGTGGGTTAGGAACAGTTTATAGTTGTTGTAGATGCAAAACCACAGGCCTGTGATCCCAAGGAGATAGAAATTCGAGGCATCTGCAGCAGTAGGTATTTTCTTTTGACTTATTTTCTTTTAAAGATTTTTGTTTGCATCCATGACCCAGAAACATCAACTTTTAGTTATATGTTGTCTTTAATAAAAAAGAAGTCCATGTTATCAACTTGGTCTAATGTAAAATGCACAATTTGGAGATAGCAGAACTGCAATTGCAAAAGTAGTTTTTCAGCTGAATGTTCAGAATAATTACCCAAAATTTTAAAAATAATTTAGGTCACTTTGATTTGCAGATAAATTTTGCAGATGAACTCCTGATAAATCACGGTGTTGTTCATTCTTTTCCTTCTTGCATAGCCCATTCTATTTTCTTCTTTGTAAGCAGAGAAAATATTTTTGTATGTCAGCCAAATTCCTTTGGTTGTTTCCTTAGCTCTCTTCTATCTGTTAAAACAATTCATTGCAATTAATTCCTTCAGTATTTTTTCCTCGTCAGCACCTTTGTATGGTCTAGAAAGTAATCCATTTTGCTCATTTTAATCATGAATGTAGTATACGTGTTTTCTCTGATTCACTATACAACTACTTAAGATTTCCATACATCAAGAGAGGTAAATATTATTATAAGGATTTTAATTGATAAAGTATATGTAAATGTTGCCTTATCCAATGTTTTTTTCTTTTTGCGTAGAATAAAAAGCACAAAAGACATTTTTGTTTGACTAGGTGAGGTGGCTCCTTCAACGTCTCCATCTGTGTCACCACCACTACCAGCCATTCCTGAGGTTGCAGCAGAGTTGATCAAAGGGAGTATTTACCTAAGGTGTACCTTTGGCATTCCTTTTGCAAACAGCTCAGTTGGATTCATTGTGACTTGGTCAAGACTTTCTCCTGAAGGCATCAAAGAAGAACTGAAACATGAGAGAACAGTTCATACGTTCTCACTCTTAGAGTTAGATGGGACAAGCATCAGACTTGGAGAAAGAGTATGTTAAAAATTACTATAATCTCTTACAGCTGCTTTGTTTAAAGACTTATGATTTCATAAACGATCAGCAGACACTAACAATTGCTAGAGATGGAGTGCCAGCATTTTGCTGTATGATTTCTCTTGGCAGAAATGTATTGCCTCTAGTTTTTATTTACATCAACACTGCCCCTACAAATGTGGAAATGTCACAGAATATATCAGTAATTATCACTACTATTAATGTTTTGAGACTGTCTCAGTATACTATACCATGCCTCCAACAGATGTTTATTCAAGTTGAATCTTTTTAACTTTCTACTAGAATTTTGCTTGATATTGTGAATTAAGAGGATTTGGAATGTAACAATCTTAAGAGAGTGGCAAAGTGAGTTGTGGGAAACTGTGCTGTTGATTCAGCAGATAGATTGCTTAGAATCAATAATGAGCCACTGCTTGATGACTTTGTGTCAAGGATCAGATATAAATATTTTGATACCCACCATCAAAAGCAGCAGTATGAGTAACTGCATTAGTTAATTGCAAATTTCATGGGTAGCAGAATGAATATCTATGTTCACCTGGTAACTTTTTGAAAAGCTAAAGCATCATCACATCTCAAAAAAGGATACGGTAAAACAAACAAAACAAACAAAAACAGCATCTAAAACAGTATTTAGCAGCACAGTGCTGGGTCAGTGGAGGGAAATCACAATAAACTTATCCCATAAAAGATAATTCAGGCCCATAACACTGGGAAGAAATGGCAGTGAGAAGAGATGAAGGGGCAATGATTGTTTTGTGTAATCTATGATCAAATGGTTATTCAACAAAATTAAAAGGCAACAAACATAGAATTGACAAAAAGAACTAAAAAAAAATAAAGTGTAGAATGCATGTCCACAATATATCATGATGTGCAGAAATATTCCAGAAGTGATTAGTTAAATGTGTGGAAATTTAGGTGCTTGTTAAATGTGATGATTTGTATGCCAGGAGGAGATCTTGGAAAATTTTGTCTCATTCAGTCAATTAAACAGCACCATTGACAGTTGGTAACTTTGGATGCAGACAGAAGCTTAGGCTTAACAAGTTCATCAAGCTGACATCATGGCTGAGTTTCATATTCACTTCTTACCAAAAATATATTGTATTGTGTTGATTTTTTCTACAGGTCTACTGTAGCAGTTCTGCTTTCTTCATGGAGAAGCCAAGCATACATAGCAGTCCAGTTGAGAGCAAGGAATTTTTTGCTGGCATTAAGGTCATTTGAAAATAATGTTTTACTTTTTTGTAGTGGGAGTCTTTCTGAGTATCAGTTCAGCAGATATGTAGCAATTCATGCATTTTCTTTGGGTATGCTAGAAAATTTATATGAGTGGATAATTTGAACATTTATGTAATTATTGTATGTTCCGCTCTGATAAGACCATGTAGGATGCTGAACAAAAGCAAGTGAATCATAATAGCCACAGTAGATAGAGAGTCCTCTAACTATAAGGTACTCACAATATAATCATCAAGTTAACAAAGCGTGTTGTTAGCAGTAGTGAACTCAGATTGGTCAAGTAGTGGAAGAAACAAACATGTTTCTGTGTTTCCCTTGAGGTACAGGAAGACTGAATTAGCATCTTATGCAAGCTATAACAACCCAGTAAACACTTTGATCTCCACCAGCTAAAGTAGACTCCAGTACATCCTCTGTAATTGTAAACTAACCAGGGCCATGGCTCAGACTTGAGCTCTGACTTGCTTTTGACCACTTAGCTGCTCTCTTGCACAATTTTAGACTATGCCAACTGTTTCTCCCAGAACACGGCTGACAGAGATCAGGGTCTGTTCCCATCTGGCCACGGGGATGAGGGAAGGGTCAGACCAACCTGCTTTGGGCTTAGACTAGGATGCTGGGAAAAATTTATAGCATGTAGGCATGAGCTGTGCCATGACAATTGGTTAAAGGTGAAGAAGAGGTCCAAAAAGAAACTATCATAGATTTAGTTGTAGGTACCACTTTGTTTATTGGCCAGGAATGGGACACTGCACACACATATTGTGAAAATTTCCATTGACTTGAGTGAAGATTTACCTCTCATAAAGCTAAAGTGCATGCTTATGTTTCTGCAGATTCAGGGTCCAGATTAATCTCTTGTCAGTGGAAGTCATTTTATAGCACATAATATAAAATATGAATGCATTATTTTCCTTTTTATGTGAAGCTCCTAGGTAGCTTTTTTTTTGCATACAATATGACAAATTACCTATATGCTGGTTTCCAGAAGCTACCCAAAGAATGCATTTTTATGGTGTTAACGTACTTGCTAATCCCTTTCTTACTAGCTTTACCTCATCCTAGCCTGTTATTGGCACTCTTTACACACTCTTTTTATAGTGTCCTCATCTTCTCCCAGTACGCAAATGCACTTCAAACCGTCTAGATAACAAGTAGAGTGGGCCATGCGCCACACCATTCAGTGTATTTAGTTTTTCATACTTTACTCCTTCCTGATCAGTAGGGATGCTGTAGTTCACAAATGATGTTTGCATTTTAAGTATATTTTTTTCTGTGCTAGATACTTCCAGAAGCGTATGATATATCAGAAGATGGCAAGGAATACAGACTGTCAATAGAAAGCAGAATCCCTGTTCCTTGTCCCAAATTTAACCAGGTTGAAAGTGACTGCAGAATATCACTAAGATTGAATACTGTTGATGAAGGCAAGTATTATCCTGATTCTGTGTGTGTGTTGCATTTTGTATGCTTATTGTGTTTTTCTAAATATTCCCTCTGATTTGCCTCTTTGGAGAATCTGGTGTATTGTAAAATACTTTCTAAATTATTAAAATACTCAAAGGCCATATGTACTGCTGTTGAAAGTATGGAAGAATATGTCCATCATCCTTTTTTTTTTTTTTTTTTATGTACTGTGTTTTAAGTATTGTCTACAGTCACGAAGTACTCAGGTTTTAGTCTTTCTTTGTCTGTAGTGCTTTGCTATGCCCAAGTCGCATGAACATGAAGTCGTGTGAACATCAAAGGGATCCTTGCCTATTCAGGCAGGCATTTTTGTCCCATCTGCAGGACTTCCACGACTTTCATTTGGCTATCAATGTAGAAAATTAAAATAATTTTCTTGGATGTGTGTAGGGAGAGGGTTTTCCATGATCATAGTTGAGGAAAATGCTCACTTACTTTCATTTGTGAAAAAAAACCCCACACTTTTTGTGTATATCACTTTGTACGTAAGTTAGCATTTATATTAACAGCAATATACAAAATGTGTCTTGATTAGATGAAAACTCATTAATGATGTGTTTTCATTAAAACAGGTAAAGAACAACTAGGTTTAAACTTGGCTCTTTCTTCTTGTCATGTGGATCTTCTCCAGAAACCCTGTAGAAATGGAATCTGTAGTCAAGCAATAATTTACTTCACTGCTGTGACAGACTTTATGCAGGACGGAGACAGAATTACCAGAATTGCAGTCGAACCAATATCCAGTGAGAATTTCCTGTGGAATGGCTATGTTCCAGAAAGCACAAAGGTTGAAAATCTAAGTGTTAAGATCTGTAAAACTAACAAGCCAGGAAAGTGGCTGATCTAAACTGAGTTTCTATTTCAGTTGTGACATGCTGATTCACACCAAGATTTCGAAGTAGTCAATTTTTAATTGGTTTATTTCCATTAAAACATTGCCTTTTCATTTGGATTAAGTTTCTTACATTTGAATATTAACATAACTACTTAGAAATAATATAACCTGCTTATTATGAAATAAATCAAGAACATAAATAATGTGCCTAAGTCTAACCTAATATGATTTACTATGCACTTTTTTGTTTTGAAGATTACTGTAAAGGATCTACCGACTGCGTACTGCTACTCATTTACTGACCCTCATATAATAACGTTTGATGGAAGGTAATAACTTGATTGAAGCTTTAAATTTCAAGGGTTGCTGTTGTTTGTTTTTTTAATCTATGCTAGTGATGCAAGCTGTAGTTCTCTACAGTTCAGTTGTGCTATGTATTTCACACTCTTGGATAATAGGATAAACATGCTCCAGCTGGTTAAAGCTTGTTAGTCATATTTATAGTATTTATGTTTGAAAATACAAGTTTTAGGTTGTGACAAGTAAGTAGACTATTACCCTTTCTAGAGGAATATACCAAGAGAGAAATAACAGCAGTAGAATCTGAATGTGAAAGATGGAAATATTATTAAATATGATCAGTGATAAATGGTTGAATAGACAAAACTATTTTAATACAGAAGTATTTCCAGTCTTCAGCATAGCTCCCATATTTCTGGTGTACCTATCTGAATCCCTGTAAGGATCAAGTTGCTAGAAGCTATCTTCTGTCAGTATGACATTGTGATGAGTTCATTAATGTCACTGACAGCAATTTATTCGCTTCTGTCACTTGCAGCATACTAAACATTCTTTCCAAAGTGAAGACAGCTTCCTTAGCCACAGCTGGCATGATTTTTGTATGCTTCTGTCTTTCTAATTGTTTCTAAATCATGGAAGAGTTCAAAATAAATACCAGTTCCAAACATGGGACTTGTATATTCCCAGCTCAGCAGAAGCACATTTCTTCAAATGACAGTGTGAGAGAAAGAGGATACGTTGCCTGCACATAAGTGTGTTCAACACACAACAGAGTTTTTCTTGTGAATTTGAAAGGAAGAACAGGTTGTAATGGATGCTCTGAGAGCACTGTTACTAACAATAGTAATAAAGTCACAGGAGTTATGCTGACTTGCGATTCTTTCTTCATTCGAAATTACAGGGATGCCTTCAGTGGGTTTTTTAACCATCACCACATTGTGATCAAGCTTTCTTATGATGTAACAACCTACTGAAATATATTCTTGCTGGAATATGGTGCTGCACCTTTCTTTTTAAAGATAAATAGCATTGCTAACTTATTTTACAAAACATGGGAAACAGACAGAAAGGGAACTGCCCCTGCAGAATCACAGGTGATCGCATGCAGGCCATCTGCAGTTTGTCTGCTAGGCTATTAAACAAAAGGCAAATCACTACTCTACAATTAACTGTCAAATGCCATTTATAGCCAAGAGACTGTTAAACTTGCAGAAAAAGTTTCTTTTTTTTTTTTTTTTTTTTTTTTTAATTTTATTTTCCCCCCCCCCCCCTCCTCTCCTTCTTGCCACCAAATCATTAAATTGGCTAATTGGCTAACTTTGCTTCAGGGAACAGATGGCTAACCCATAGGGGAAAAAAAAAAAAAAAAAAAAAAAAAAAAAATGAAGTCACTATTTATGGTTTTCATCTTAAATCATTTTCAAATCTTTGGGAATAGGTTTTCTCCATCTTAATAAAGCAGACCTTTTTAAAAGTATCTGACTTTCTAAATCATTTCATCAAGGGTACTTGTACAGTCTTCAGCATCTGCACCTCACATGCGCACAGTTAAGCATCTTCTTGCTCCTGCTGGATATTTGCACTGCAGTAGAAACACAAAGGCTAAGGAGCATCCCCTGATTGCCTGTTAGAATAGACAAAAGCACAATTAAAATGCATCAAAGAACAGCAGTGGCTTCATGATTATCTTTCCATTCACAAACATTGTCTACATATTCCATTTGTGATCCTTCTCTTCTTCCTTCTATTTCTGCTGTAGAACAGGTTTTAAATTTTTGTTTTAGAGCTGTACAAAAGAGATACATATGGTGTTGTTTGTTTAGAACAAAGTTACTTGCGTTTGTGAACAGTACTCTTGTTTGCTTTTTTATTTTTTTCCCCTCCCCACGATGCACGAAAATATGCTACAGTATCAAATCCTACCAAATACTAGAAAACTGTTTTAAGTTACTGACACCTGGTGATATTATGCTTTTCTTTTGACACCAGACTCTATGACAATTTTAAAACAGGAACATTTGTCCTCTATAAGAGTACAGCTCGAGATTTTGAAGTTCATGTTCGCCAGTGGGATTGTGGAAGTCTTCAATATCCAGCATCCTGTAACTGTGGCTTTGTTGCCAAAGAAGGAAGTGATATAATTGCATATGATATGTGCAATAGTCAGCTACATGAGTCACAGCCATACTTATCCATAATAAGTAGAGACACAACAGGAAGCAACGTCAGAATCACTGAATCCTACCTAGGAAGAAAAGTAACAGTAAGTTCATACTACTTTTGGATATAATAGCTATTTCAGTAATTATTTTTACCAATTCATACCAACTTCAGAACTAAAACATGCTTTATTTTCTGCAATTAAACACAACAACGTTTATTTTATAGTCATAGTATTTTGGCCAGTGCTTTGCTTGCAAGCGATGTTTGAAATGACACAGAATTTTAAAATGAAACACTCCACTGCTATTTATCATTCTGTTGTCTGAAATGCAAGCACTAAAAACAGACCATTTCAGTTTGGATTTGTCTATTAGAATATATAATACATTTTTAATACCTGATAAGTATTTAGAGAATATCAAGCAACAGAGAAATGAAATTCCTCACTTTTAGAGGCAGGGATGCTAAAACAGAAAAAATAAGTGACTTATGTGAAATTGCGCACCAAGTTCATAGAAACAACATTTAAACTTAGAAGTGAAAATCTTACATTGTCACTTCATCTATTCAGTCGTCCATGTATGATTAGCTTTTATTTCTCCTTTATGTGCAAATGTGCTTATTCTTCTTTAACTATGCCTTTTTCCCCCCGCCCTCTCCTTACAGTAAAAACATTGTTGAATTGTATTCTTTAATTCTTCTTATTAAGAAACTGAAAATCTTAATTCTTCTCAGTTTATTTCTAAAATGTCAGTATTTCTGCTGAGCATTGTAAAATAAAATCGTGAGTTTTTGAGAGTACTCTGGGCTATCTGGTACACTTCGGATCACATTTGCAGGTAGAAAATTCTGTATTAAGCCATAGAATTAGCACACAGCATTAGCATATAGAATCATATAGCTGATATGCTCCCAACAAGTCAGTTTATATTACTAGAATTATCCCTTTCCATCTGGAGAGGGAGTGGCCCTTTTTCTTTGCTCACTTACTCTTTAATTATCTGTGGTTTTGCAGTCATTGACCTTCTGCTCTATACCTACTAATGATGGATGAAGCTTATTGCCTGAAACGTGCCATCTAGGTGCTTCTTGGGGCACACAGGATTTGTATCTACAGTGCTACACCAAAAGAAATAACAAAATTTGTATGATTCAGAATAGTTAGAACCAGAACTTAATGGGACATCTTTATATGCCTGCCTTTGTAAATCATTCCTTATCAATGAATGTACCTGATTTTGTTAGGGAAAAATAAGAATAATGGTTCTCACAATTATATTGTCCATATCTTTTTAGGTTTTGTTTTCTTCTGGAGCTTTCATTCGTGCTGATGTGAGTGAATGGGGAATGAGCATAACACTTAGGGCGCCCAGTTCAGATTACAGAAACACAATGGGGCTCTGTGGCACCTTCGATGGAAGTGCAGAGAATGACTATCACACTGCCAATGGTGTGGCAATTCCAAACAATTCTGATGCTCTTCTTTTGTTTATAAAGGAATGGAGGTAACAAAATACTTCTTTTTCAATCAAATGAGAGTTTTTGGTTCAATCTTTCCTTTGTGCTCTTCAAAAATTTGTTGAAATAAAAGAGACTTTTTAAGTTAATATCTGAGTAAATACAGACCAAAGAGCCAAATTTGTATTTAAGTAGGATTATGATGTAAAATGAATTTGCTTTGAACAAATCAGAAAAGATCTGCCTTCTTAACTCTTTTTTTCCAGTATACCTTATATATATATATTTATAAAATATATATAAAATATATAATATATATAAAATATATATATATATTTTTTTTTACAATTTAACTGAGATCTGTAACCATATATGTAGATTCTGTAATTTATGCTGTAGAAATATTAAGCAAAACTGGCACAGATTATTAAAACAACAAAAATATATAGATAAGTTGAGATAGAATTTCTTTTTTTCTTCTCTAGAATTCCACCAGGAGGTAGCTTGTTTGACAAGACACCTTCTTCATTACCATCTTCTAGGAAAACAAACTTCTGTGACTGCACATTTGAAGATGTTGGGTTAGATCCATCAGTACGTAAACTAAAGGCAGTTTCTAAATCAGAACTTCCCCTGTCTTGCAAAGACAGTGAAAATGGTAGATTTCTTTCTTTGATACCTGGACTGGATGTCACTGCTGAGTATCTCAGCCCTATTGATCTTGTCAAAGGCTTAAACAAACATTCATCTGTACATGAAATGGATTCCGCTGCACTTCTGGAAAAGGAAGATAATCAAACCAAACTTCACAAATCATCATTAGTAAAGCCACATGTCTCTGCAACCTCAAAAATAAGTTCTGGTATGGAAAAAGAAGGATCTTCAAGCTCAGACATTAAAAGAATTTCTGATGGCTACAGTAATCAGAAAAGTCAATCTGCTACAAATAGAAGGAAGCGCCAAAGTTATTACAAATATCATCCAGTATTTCTATTCCAAAATCTAAGCCAAATGGATTTAGAGGCATATAGGTACTTTTTCCCAGAGGACCACACCACTGACAAAGACAAGAAGTTTCTTCCTTCTTGGCCCACACCTTCTGGCCTCTCTGAGTCCAGTGCTCTGAGACTGTGCCAGCAGGCAATAGCCAATTCCAGTATAGGAAGAGCTTGTGGTGGCCTTCTTGGTAGGAGAATGGAAGATGCAATCAGTATCTGTGTTAAAGATTTACTGTTGAAAGATGACCTCAGATGGGCAGAAGCTTCATTAGCGCTTTTAGAGAATGAATGTGAGAAGAGAGTTTTAGAAGAAATAAGCTACAGTCAACAGGAACTTCAGGGGTTTGTTGAGAACCTGCTTACTGTACTGAAGTGTCCCAGTCTGTGCAGTGGTAATGGAGAATGTACAGAATGGGGTTGTGCATGCTTTCAAGGCTATGGTTCATACGACTGCAGTATACTGTCTGGTAGGTGGGAAAAACAATGAGATTTACTAAAATAACAGTCTCTGTGTTTGTGCAACATATGTTTTACATCACTGTTTTTCTATCCTGCTTTTACTTTTTTCTCTTTGTGCACTGACGAGGGCTCCCTGTGGTGGGCCTGTTCATTATCCAGCAGTCTAGTTCCAATTTAATACAGCCATTATTGTTTTCTATTTAGCCTTCTTGTTTCCCAAGGGAAAAGCATGGGCTTAGTTTATGGTATATAAGATTTTAAAAATTTACTACTCAGTTTGCAATCCAGAGTACTGCCTCAAGAGATTAGTGTGTTTCCACAGCTGTCTTCTTCAGGGAGATCTTGCCACATCCATACACTCCTGCAGTCCTGCTTATTAACTGGAAGTGGGATGTTTTTGGCAATGTTACATTTCTGTAAACTGTTAAATGTGGAAGCAGAACTGATGGTGAAGAAAAAAGTTTACCAAATAGAGTTAGGCAAGTTTTTTTTCATTAAGTAAGACATTGACTGAAAATGCAGATAAGCAGATAACACAGTGAGAATATGAGGTGTGGTTGAAAATTCAAAAGTCTTTCAGAACTGTTGATATTTTATAGTAGTATTTTTGTTACATTAATGTATTTAAAATAAATGGAGGAAGAAGTAAGAAAGTAATAAAACAGAAATATTTGCTTCCTCTTAAACTCAAATAGATGGGCTTGTGTATAATCAACATCAACAAATATAAAGATGTAATAATTATGAAATAAACAAGAGAGCTTGGCTAAGCATGTTATAAGAACAAAAAGAGAATAGATAGAATGCTGACCTACATCCTGGGCTTGCTGCAAAACTCCAGAGGAGGGATCTCAAGAAGAGACCCTTTCCTAGTGGTAGACAGCTCTTAAATGGGTCTAGGAAAGGTGGAGCCAGGTTCCACCTCTTCTGGCAGCACAGGTGAATTGCCTCCCAGGGCTGACTCATTGCTCACCTTAGGTGATCAATCAGAGGTTCAGGCCGTGATCCAGCAGTTCCCATACAGCTTTGCTTTCAGAGGAAATATTTGAGTATTCTAAATTTTGTCAGTTTATTTCATGAACCACCCTCCCCGTGTTTGTTTTCTTTAAACAAACAAAAAAACCCATTATAAATTATTGCAAGTAATTTTCAAGTTCCTATATCTAAAGCCTGAGCTTCATTTACATTTTACACTGCAAGTGTGATGTAAAGAGTCATAGATGAGGCGATAGACCGCATATTCACAAGAGTTTGTTATTGCATGAATGTTTCATCTGCTTTATAAATCTGAAGTTCCAAGAAAAGATATAAAGCCTGGCTTTGAAGGTGAAATTCATTTTAATGACATAAAAGGTTACTGTTGTACCTTTTCCCCTTGCTCCAGATTTTGTTGTTGACACTTTTCTTAGTTGGGCAGAGAAAAAAATGTGTTGCCGAAAGTAATTGTCTATATGAATGAGATCATTATATTGACTTTTATTTTCTAATCTCTACTTCAAAGACCAAGCTCCAGAAATAATAGAGCTGGAAAATGCTGGGCTATGTGATATTCGTCAGTATGACTGCACATCAGTGAGAGTTTTTGGACATGGCTTCAGAGAGTCATCGAATCTGAAGTGTGAAATTATCAGATTGCAAGTAGGTCTCCTTGTATAGCAATAATTCTGTTTAAATTTCTCTGTGAATAAGTAAAAACTATCTAATCATTTTATGTTGGTACAACCCAATGGTTTAGTAGAAGCTAAAAGCAGAGGCACTCAGCACTTTGCAGCAGGCACTCAAGTCTTTGCAAGATTGCACTTTCCTCACTGCTAAAAGTGCAAAACATAATGGGAATGTTCAGCAGCTAAAAGGAGATAATAGCAAACAGCAGCTATCCATCTGGAAAGGGCAAAGGTAGTCCTGTTGGTGGCAACCAGTATGTTGCTTGTTCTTTCCATTCTTTTTCTTTTTTTCTTTTTAAGTGCTTATGGAGAGGAAGTGAAGTACCAGTTCTTTGAAAAAGGACTGCAAGGTTAAAGACATCACTAGATTACTGTTTCAAACTCAATACTCAAAATAGCCTTTTTATAAACATAATAAATCTGTTACAAAAAAGAAAAAGGCATTTCTGAGATGTCCATTTCCCAGGGGCAGAATACTGTGGCTATTTAATAATATGTCAGCTTTATAGCCTAGGTTTGAACAGAAGATTAAAAATACTGTACTGTAATGTCAGAGTAGTCTGTACAGACAGAATGTTTTTAGTCAGACCTAGAATTTGCCCAAGGCAAAATTAAAAGCAATTTACAAGTGTTAGTCTGAAATGAACAATCTGTGATTACAAGTTTTTACATTGTATTATACATGAAAATAAAAAAAACCTGCCAAATGAAACTGGTTTTCACTCATGATGACTGGGGGGAGAGAATGACAAAAGGGAAAACATTCAGTAGGAATCTTCTGCTCCTGGGATAACCAAAAAATGCTTTCCTTAGTTCTGGTAGATGCTACAATTAAGCAGTGTGGGGGGTTATAGACGTTTTTTTTCTTGTGCACATTTATCCAATCATCTGCTAGTTGGCTTGAAATGGGAAAGTTAAGAGTATAGGTTAAAAGAGTTTCAGACCATCTCACAGATAATTATTGGGAATTTGATAGCAATAATTTGAATTGCCTCTGTCTTAACTCATGACAAGATACTCCGATACAACACTGTACAACACTGTTTGTGGTAGTATACATGACTCTGAACTACAGAAACATTCTAGATAATCTCTTTTGTTGTGATCTCCTTTGTTGTTGTCCTTTTTCTTTTTTTAAATTTTATTTTGCATTTTTAAAATTTTCTTCCTGAAACTACCAAAGAAAATAAGTTTGTTTCCTTTTAATTTTCTGACTGGAATAATGGTGGCTTTGTGCAAATGCCAGTAGAGGTACAACACATAGCACTTTTTGTGGGTATTTTGAGATAAATTCAACTGATCAAAATTTCCTAGAAGCATTTTTGCTGAATTTAGAGCTAATACACTCACATTTCTCATTTGTAATGCTTGCTCTTCTGAAAGATTAAATCACATTGTTTGTCTACAGGCTGTCCTACCATGCACAGTGCTGTAAGAGATGATTCAGAGAATTTTGCACTGGAGTACTTCACAGATACATAACTAGTGTGCATCTCTTGGTAGAGCTTTGGGCAGGACATGACCAAGGAGTTAATGATTACACATTAAGTATTAATGCCAGAATTTATTTAGATCTTGCAAAAGTTAGGAATGTTTATAAACCCCCTTATTTTGTTCTAGTAGATTTGGAGATTTTTAATTGATTTTTGAGCGATAATATTTCTGAAAAAAATATCTGAATGTGTCTCCAGCTGATAACAAATGGCTTCTGGAAAAATAGACTGCATCACATTTCAAAGAGTCAAAGATCTCAAAATTGCATATACATGAATGCTTAGTTTTTACATTTTTACTTACCTTTGCCATTAATTAATTAGCACAGGATGAAAGAAAGTTTGGTTTGAACAAAAATAGTTAATTTGTCTTTTGAGCATTTTTTAAAGTGTTTTTTTTGTTTGTTTGGTTTTGTTTTTTTGTTTTTTTGTTTTTTGAAAAAGTGCAAAACTGTGGTCCCTACATCAGGGTTGGGATTAAATAAATATTTTACTTTGTTACAGTAACTCAAAAAATAGCCAACTCAGTAAAAGTTAAGCTCAACATGATTTTGATCTTGTTGTTCTCTCAATTCTTTATCTACCTATTTTATTTTATACATTTGACCCTGCTTCCTATTGCAATCCATACTTCTATCATGTAGTATTACCATCCCTATTCTGTTATCTTGAACTCTCAAGACAGATCCTTGGGTAACTTCCCTTCCTGGAGTATAGAAAATAAATCTACAGGGTTAATGTTGTAATCTGTTCATTTGTGCAGAAGTTTAGTGGCTAACTGCCAGTATTTGCTGGCACCCAAAATCATAGCTGAGTGTTGCCAGAACCTCATTTGTTCATTTGACTAAAGTTTGTCCACTTCTGTGAGCAGAGATAGAGAGGCATAAAGTAATTGAGACACTAGATCAGTGATACTTTATAGAGATACTTTAAAGTGATACTTTGGAGGATCACCCACTGCTTAACTCTTCCATAACTCTCCAGATTGAAGAATTTTTCTTGGTAATGCCATGCCAAATTGCCATGCACCAGGAAAGACTTCTCTTCTTTCATTTTAACAGGCTCAGGTAGAAATCTATTTGTGGGGGGAAAAAATGACATATTTCCCACATCATTCTAATCCAGAGAAGTAGACACATTGAAACACTAAGCAATACATATGCTGTTTTTTTTCTCTGATAAAAATATTTTCATATTCCATTTCACTGAAAAACAAATTATTTGTCCTAAAATTTAGTATACTGATAACCAGTGGATTCCTGGAGAGCCTCTAATTATGTCAGCTGCCTTCCAAAATGTCAGGAGTGTCGACTGCCAGTTACCGAATAACAGCCCACAATCTGATGTCATGGATCTGGTTGATGATAAACCCATTGCCTTGTGGAAAATAAAGGTACTTGCAGAAATTTCAAACATTCACTTACAGATACTAAGATGAAACTACATTGTGTATATAACTATTATTTTTTAATGGTACAGTGGATGGAATTCAGCTTGCTTAACATGGCGTCTCATTTAACTTCTTAAGCTTAAATACAGAGTGCTTCCTGCAAGGGGACTGCCCCCTATAAGGGGCTACCCCTAGAACCTATAGAAGCATGCATCCTTCGAAAGTTGAAGGTAAAGGCCAAGTAGTTTCCCTAGTGCATTTCAAATGACGTTCAATATGTTGACAGAAAAAATGAGTTGAGCTCAATGTATATACATGAATGTTTGTGTGAGGTGGACATCTAAGATATCACACAGTTGGAGTCAATAAGGTCAATAGACCCTAAAAACTGGTCATTCTATCCTAGCATAGACACCTATATGTGGTCAGTCAAATACCTGCCTAATCTTGTTGATATAATTGATTAGAGTTTTGCTGACTATTACAAGAGTTTAAACAGCTAAATGTAGTGCCTGTCATTGAATTGAATCCCAGGATAGCAGTCAGTGCTGCTGAGATGTTGATACCTATGTTGATTAAACTACTTTTACTCTATATCTTGCAGATTTCTAATGATGGATTAATTTACAGCAATTCTAAAACAGTGATAATATACGATGGAGCCTGTCAGATATGTGAACTACAGGAATCTGGATTATGTGCACTAAAGGTATATATTTCATTCTTCTGTGTATATTACTAAAGTATGCATCTCTTCAGGTAGAAAAAAAACACATCCTGTACTCATTTACAACAGGAATTTTTCATGCCCAGAAATGAAAAGCACCAGAGGAGAAGCTCAGAAGAGAAAAATTTGATGGAAAAAAGCAATAACAACAACAACAAAAAACACTGTGTATAATTAACAAGTAAAACCAAACATACTGTTATTCATTTACTTCTAAAAGTACAATGTAGGATTAGGTTTGATTAGGATTAGTTTTATTAGATTTGGACACTACAAATGCAAAATTTTACAAACAGACAATTCTGAAATTTGCTGTTTGACAACTGAAAATTAATGAGTCATATTGTCATTTCTCTAAAAGGAGAAAACATGCAATATAGATGGACTCTGTTACGGTGAAGGTGACATGAATCCAACCAGCCCTTGCTTACTCTGCAGACCCGACACATCAAGGTTAAGTTGGTCAGTTGTTGAAAGTAAGTTCTAAATAGTTCTGATTGTTGTTTCTTTGATTTTTTTTTTTTCAAGTAGCAAAAAGTTTAGGTTCTACTAAGTTTCAAAATGAATAGATATACCGAAGTTTTGAGCTTAGTTTAGTGTTTCAGCTAAAGCTCAGTTGGTATTATTTCAGTTTGTAATTTGATCTTGTTTTTCATCTTGCAGTTCTCCTTATTTCTGAAAAGCATGTTTTCCAGACCAGACATGTGAAAGACAGACTTGTTTTTTTTCTTCTTTTTTTTTTCCCTGTTCACAATAACTAACAAGAAGCTACTGAAATTAACAACTTTTTGAGCCTTATTAGCAGTTAACTGTATTTTGATTTTTGGTACAGCCATGTCCACAAGTGTTTGTCTTCAACATTTAGGAATAAAAGGCCTTTCCCAATCAGGTGCATGTTCTGAGGCAAGGTTTTTCTTTCACTTTTTTGAACAGGCAGTCTATATGCAGATATTGAATAGTCTGTATACACATAATTTCATCACTGGAAAATTCAGAGTGGAAGGGGTCTCAGGATGCTTGAGTCCATCCTCCTGCTTAAAGGTCATCCTTGAGCTCTGTTGTACTCAATCACTAATTAACTTAGGGTGTTACTAGTAGCACTAGTAGCATTTTGTTGATCTTCTCATCAACAAACAGTGGATTCAGCAACCTGTGAGTACACAACTGCAGGCAGAGCAATGAAAATCAATCCGAAATTGCAGTTGAAAATTGTATAAATTATCTAACTTACAATGTGAGCAATGTAGCTCTGCATAAGCTAGACAACAAGAAACTTTTCTGTATACATATATCTATAAAAATGCTCTGTAAAGAGCTTTGCATAAATGTTGTTAACACCTCATAGACCTACTAATGATGTTTAATACAAGATTTTGTTCCATAGAGTCTTTGACTTACACCAAACAAGAGGTGAACACAAGAAACTGGATTAAAAGGCAGGACATGTTAATTAACCCCTTAATATTTGGACATAACTCACACTGATTGCATAGATGTATGGCCTAAGCAAATACTTCAGTGTATATTTATGAATCTCATACTTCAGTCCAATTAGAAACCATACCATGAAAAGAGGACCATCATCTAGAGTTTCTATTTTCTGTCTCTTCATAGTACAAAATTCTAGCCTAGTAACTGTAGCTCTTTTGGTTCAGCTTTCCCATCAACCAGCTTTCCCCATCAACCCAGGTCCATCATATCTCAAATGCAAGAATCCCATCATGTTTCATGAGGGAAGTGCTGGCATGACTCTGCCTGGATTAGTATGGCTCTTGTATGAATGGGAGTTTTGGTGACTGTCTCAATCTCTTCCTAGTTCTAACTTTTTATGATTTTCTGTACTTTCACTTTTAAACTGCTACAGTTTATAAAAACAATTTTTAATTTCAATAAATTTTGAGGCCTTTTTCTATGTAAATGCAATCAATCTTTACAAGCTCTTACATACTCTAAGTAATTTCTTGTTAATGTTACAATTATAACGAAAATATCTATTTTTTTCCTGTACTGTTGAAATGAAGTTAGAATTTAAAAGAAATAGTCACATATGTCTTCCTTAAGAGAAAGATATGTTCCTTTAAAATTTTTATTAGTATATTGTAACTCTGCTTAAAAGAGAAAATATCTCCTTTGTTACAGACAACCAGCCTCCTGTACTTGAAACTTTTCAGGGTATGCTACAGACTTTTTATGGAGAAGATTTTGTATATCAGTTTTTGGCTTCAGATCCAGAGGGCTCTGCTATTCTTTTCACATTGGAATCTGGTCCTGAAGGTGCCAGTCTTTCCCCATCAGGTCTCCTTTTGTGGAAAGCTGTGTCAAAGAATCCCCATAAATTAACATTTTCTTTGACAGATGACTGCAATGCGGAGACTAAGGTAGAAATAGAGGTAATTAATATTACAGTAAAATGACTCATGCTAGTAAGATGTTTACAATATCTAATTACAATATTCATTGCTAGTTCATAAAAAGAGAAAACTATCTTATTTGTTTTGCTTTGTAGATCAAAGTAAATTCATGTGATTGCCTGAATAATGGCTCATGTGTGACAAACATTAATTTCCCACCTGGAAGTGGGAGATACCTTTGTGTATGTGTGGCTGGATTTGAAGGTGATCTCTGTCAAGTGAATACTGATGACTGCAAACTCAACCAGTGTGGTACTGGCAAATGTGTAGATGGAATAAACAGCTATTACTGCGAATGCCCACCTGAACTTCAAGGTAAACTACTACATTATATATTCACATTTAGATTTTCTGTTTTCCTCTGGTGAATACAGTAAAAAACAAGAATGATAAGTTTGGTCCCAGCATGGCTCCTCCAATGCCAGCAGATAAATGTAGTCCACAGAGCCCATTCTCTTCGGATTCTGCAATAAGCAAGAAACTTGGCATATGATAAAAAAATGTATGCAACAAACATAGTGAGCTGACTTATTAGATGTACAGAAATATTTTGATGTACTTACTGTATGCACTCCTTTGTATTTTTGCATCTACATATATTCTACTTTTATCATTTAAAAATATATTGTCAAAGTCTGGTGACAGCAGTATTATAAAAATCTGTGTTTGAATGCAGGTGAAAATTGTCAAGATGATATAGATGAATGTGCATCCAACCCTTGCTTCCCTGGAGTATTTTGCTTCAATACTTTTGGTTCTTACTATTGTGGTTCATGCCCAAAAAATCTACATGGAGATGGGAAGTCATGCTACGGTAATACGATCTGGTTTTTTAGAATACTACTGTCTTACTGGGTGTGCTATGTTTCTAACAGTAAATTAGAACTCTAGAGTAGTCAGCAGAAAAGAACTCTCTGACTGTTGGCTACAGAGACAGAATCTCAGATGGTCACAATATCAGAATGTAGTGGGTCACACAGCTGTAAACTCCTTTTCCAAATGTTTAGAAAAAAAAATAGCTACAAATGCCCACATTCTTTCACATAATACTAGGAATCTAAGTGCAGTGTATTTTTTCTGTGTTATTTTCATAATACGAGTAACTATTGACAAAATGCTTTGCTTTTAGGCTGCTCAGCATAGAACTATTTATTGAAATAAAGAAACTCGAGAAATTAGGTGTCTAACATTAATTTACTGTGTCCTCTTATGCAATTTCTGAATAACTGGTATTTTTAAAGTGGTCTGTTGCAAATCTTCAAGAAACATTTTTTACTCTTCATCTGCTGTCTGAATTTTGAGTTATTTTTTCTATTGGAGTTCTGTAATCTATTTGCTGTTGAAGTAAAAGTAACTATTAATGCGCCCTCTCATTTTTTGTTTTAGAAACCTTTGATGACATTTACGTTAAAAGAAAAGATTTCATAGGGGAAGCTGGAGAGAATAAAGGTGATTTTATTTCATGAAGATAGTGAAATTTCTGATTCACATACTGATAAGAATATAGCTGGGAAGTTAAAGGTTTTAGTCAGCTTTATGTTATTCACTTTAATTTTTCAGTTTAACTAAATGAAATTAATGACTTGGTTTGCATTCTTATTTCTGATCTTATAAATGACACTGAAATGTCAATATCAACAAATCCCTTAGGTCAGTCAAGTCATTTCATTGTCAGTGTGATATATGACATTCTTACTGCTGCCTTTTGTTTTTGTGACTAACCACTGACGTGCAATAGGTAACATGGGGATAGGGACATCTGTTATATGAGATAAGCAAAAGTTTATGGCATTATGTTGAATGCCATTTTCATACTTCAATTCAAAAGAAAGGTGAAGAGTATGGCAAATGAAGGTCCTTAATTCCAAAACTCTTTAAACTCTATTGCTGGCATTTCCAGCTCTGTGTCTGCTGAGGTATTGTTCACAGAGAATTCTCCTCGGGTGTCTTTTTCTTCATCTCTGAATTGTTAGCAGGGGAAGAAAATGCACTCTCACTCAACTGCCAATGCTGGATAATTCTTTATCAGTTTCTTCTAATGCTTTGTTTTTCAGCAATGGGAAGCATAACACTTTGCAATAAGATTCAGGGAAGTTTAACCTTTTATTTACAGTTTTCTAATACTGTTTCAAAGGACAGATCTTAAGTTGAACAATCTCCTCCAACTTCATTCCTGCTCAAACCCATAATGCTAAAAAGCCCATTGAAAGCCTTCTGCCATTCTTGTATTACAGTGCCATACTCCTTTCTACAGTCCACCAGAACACCCACTTTTTTTCAGAATATGGAGCATTTCTCATTCATTCTGCATTGCTATCAGAGAGAAGGCTGAATCCATCTTTGTCATTGAAAACATATATGTAATATTCCACTAATAAAAAATATACAACAACTATCAAAATGAAGAAAAATGTTCAGAGAATTATCTGAGAGCTCTGAGATAACTGAAGTAATTAAATAAACTAAAATATACTTTTGCTACAAAGTAGTGAATTATTCATACAAAGTACTTCATGTGATGTAAGTAAGTGTAAGTGGGTAAGTATATATTGTTACTAAGTATCTGCTTCCAGACTCTAGGCTTATTATCTGCATTTAGACGTACATGTGAACAGTAAGCAGTATCTTTTGTTTTAACACCATTACAGTAATCTAGTTGTATGGCACTGGTAATTTGTTCTGCCAATAAAGTTATTTGTTGACCCAGTATCTGAAAATCCCTGGCTGCCTGCTCCAAAAGGCCATGGTGAGAGTGGGAAAGGATGTAGACAGAGCACCTTTGTCTGCCAGTTGAGATTTATGTCCTACTGCAAACATTTATTCTGGTGTAGCACATGTGAGGAGAGGAATGAATGGAACATATGTTTTTCTGTTCAGAAGACATTCTCCACCCTTGAAAGAAAAAAAGTCTTATAATATTTCTCCTTTTTCTTTAACATTCTGTAGGTTTTGAACAGTCATCATTTGACAAGGTCTTGAGCTCTGTTCCCAGTTCTATAGATGTCCCCCGAAGATTTATTTCTATAGAAATGGACAATACTAGTACTCCATCACTCTCCATATCAAAAACAATCACCACTGAGAAGTCATGTGGTTCTCAGAGAAGTGCTTCTGTACAACCAGATGCATCTGAAAACATTGCTCATGCTGTTGGTAGCAGTAGTGGACGCCTTACTGACACAGAAGGGGCTTCTCCAGAAAACACAGTGATTACAGCTTCTTCAAGGAGCCATGCTGTATCAGCTGAGAAGAAAACAAGGACACGAGTTGAGGCCTACAGTCATTGGGAGACTGGCAAGAAGGCTTCTCTTAGCAGTTCAATGAATACAAGCAAAGGGCTTTCTTCATCACACAAAATATTTAAAGGTGGAAATGCTCACAGAGTTCAGCACTTGTTAGCCAAGCGTAGAATGAATCCTTTACTTTTTGCTCTTGTTGAAGTGACTATCCCACCAGAAATGCTTCCTGAAGATTCAGATGAAATAGTACTTCCTAAAGCAATAACCTGTGCTGAACTATCTTGTTTTCCTGGAGTACCTTGTGAGCCAAGTCAGGATGATGGAGTCAAGTGTGGTCGTTGTCCCTATGGTTACTATGGAGATGGCTTCAATTGTAGAGGTATGGCAAATGACTGTACTAAATGCTTCGCTGAGAATTACTTTATATATAGGTTGCTCTGAAAGTAATGCCTCCTATTTATTTCCATGGAACATGGAAATTACAACAGACACAAAGAGCACAATAACACTATTTGACAGAGCAAATTCCCAGCTACAAAACACTACTTTTTCAGTTAGTCACCACCATTAGCTATGCATTTTTGCCCATGATGAACAAGATTTTGCCCAAGATGAACAAGCATGCCACGCTCATAAAGATCTGCACAAGTGGAGGTGACCCACTGTTTCACAGCTGCTTTGTGGGCTTTGTTGCTAGGAAAATGTTGCCCATACAGTTGTCCTTCATTGGCCCAAATAGTTGGATGTTAGAAGTTGCCAAATCTAGTCTATACAGTGGGTATGCTGAGTCAGTCCTGCCAAGAATGGTGATGTGCTCCATGGACTTCAAACTGGTATTTAGGCTATAGTTATCATATTTCAAGAAAGATGGTTCTCTTCTCTCTCCTTACTCTGGAAATTTGAGCCTTCAGCCTAGTCAGTATCATGATGTAGTGGTCAGAGTTGATGATTTGTCCGGGTTCCAGGAAATCCAGAAGGACCACCTCTTTCCTATCCCAGAAGACAGTGAACCTACTCTCAGTTTACCTACTGAGAGCTGCATCTTGAATTTTTTCTTTGATGGAGAAGTCATGTGTTGCCACTCCATGAACTGCTGGTTTGACTCTGGCTTATAGTGGTGACAACATATCTTATCATCGGTAACGATGCACTGCAGGAAACTGTTATCTTCAGTCTTGTATTGGTTCACTAGGTCCTGACAAACTTGCATACAATGGTCTTTCTTTTCTATGTGAACATTTGTGGGACCTACCCTGCACAAACTTTGCAATACTTTAACATTGCCACCATCACTTCCAACACACAGAAGCCAATATTCAGCTTTATACACAGCTCCCTGGTTGCAATATGTCTTCACATGCATGAGCTGATCGAGACACTCTTCATTTTCTAGAGTGACAGCTCTGCATGGACATCCAGAATGGCTAGTCTCATGTCTTTGTAACACTACTGAAACTCACCACCCACTGCTTCACTATGCTCACATGCACTGTTTGGTCACCATAAGCATTTAGCAAACAATGAATGTCAATGGGCTCCATTTTTTTCCTCCATGGAGGAATTCAGTGACACATCTTTGTTTAATATGCACTTCCATGTCAGACACCATTTTGTAAGACTGTCCCTCTGCTGCCATCTGTCACACAGCAGCAAATTTGAGGGAATACTGTTAGGAAAGTTCAGCCTTACTGCCACACCACCAAAATCTGTCTCTGACGTTGTGGGCCAACATAATACAATAGGAGGCATTACTTTCAGAACAGCTCTTGTATTTTTATAACATGAGAGTACATTGTTGATGTGTGATTGGTAAAATTCACATAGTACTGAATTTCCTTATTTTCTTAATAATATTTACCTTACAGGCTTTTAGTTGGGCGGATGCACTTAAAAAATTTTTTTTCTCTAATGTATCTCAGGCTTCCCTCTTATGATCAGAGACCTGATTGATTCTTTGTGATATGTTCATTGTGCTAAATAGGACATAGTTAGGCTGAAATGCCATTGTTTTTTTCTTTATTCCTTTCACTGTTTTCTTAATTACCTTTCAGCAATATGTAGACAAACATGTGGCAAAAATATGGAGTGTGTGGAACCCAATATTTGCAAATGCAAGCCTGGTTATGCTGGTTATAACTGCCAGACAGGTGGGTATGGCATTTTGATTTAGACCATGATAGCTCACATAAATGAGTTAATCATTAAGATCACTGTTGATTTTGCACAGCACTATGCAGACCTGATTGTAAAAACCATGGAAAATGCATTAAGCCCAATGTCTGTGAATGTCTACCAGGTTACAGCGGCTCCACTTGTGAAGAAGGTAAACAGAATATTTTGTACTTTTGAATTCATAAATATCTGAAGATTGCTGTCAGTAACTCTCATAACCGTTCGTTCTGACAGGAATGCAAGTTCATTAGATTTTTACTTTAACAGAGATTCTTATGTTTACTAAGTTATGACAGCAAAATATCATACTTTGATTTAACTTATTGCATCATCAGTACATTGCATGCTGATCTAAAATTAATGAAAAAAATAGTTTCATTGGTTGGTTTTTATTTATTTTTTATCACATCTGAGGAAGCAGTGCTTTTTCCACTAGGCATTTGTTTAGAGTTGCTCTTCTCCACTTCACCCTTTCAGAATCTTTTAAGAAAACAAAGGACAACAAATTGCAATTCACTTTCATAGGTGTGCATACGCCTTTCCAACAGATACTTGGCTAGAATCCAGTTCCTCTCACCTAGGTGCCTTTGCTTAGGTATTGCCATCCCTAAATTTCTCAGTTCCTTTGAGGAAGAGGGTAAGAATACAAAAGAATGTCTCAAACAGCCGCCTGAATTCTCTATAATTCTGTTTCCAAATAATTTAATATAAATACATTCTGCTCTCTATTGACTGTTTAGAGAATACAAGTTGTGTCCAGGTGGTGACCCAATTTGCTTATTTATGATTTATTTTTCTGTAAGTACAGGAAAGTACAGCTGTTAACTGTGTCCTCTTAGGAAGAGTTCCCAATGGCACATCATGGTGGCACCCAGCTCTCTGTCACAGTGATGCTTGGGATGTTCTCAAGTGAAAGAAAGATCTGGATTCCAGACACATCACTCCACAACAGTTTCCCAGTCACCATGCATTAGGATATTCTTAGTAAGAGCACTTAGCAGTTCTGCTGAAGTGAGTGATGTTCTCAAGGAAAGGCAGCAGGAAAGGAAGAAGTCTGGTCTAGCCCAGTGATTAGGGCTGCCAGCTGCAAAGATCCTGCTGCCATGACCCCTTCTGTGGATAGGTTTGGACTGTTTGTGTGCTGACCCAAAATGACTGACTGATTTAACTGTAGTGCCAGTCACATCTAATTTGTAGGCTTCCACAGTCTTTTCAGGTGGATTTATGGTGAGTGCTTCCTTACACCTGTATAATAATAAAGGTACAGATGAGAGATAAGAACAGATTTTCCTGCAGTAATTCTGATAATGTGAAATTATGTAAAGACAGTGGCCAGGGTAACTTTCACAACAAACAGAGTTCACTTGTAACTCCATCTGCCTCTAAGCTGAACGTTCCTGAAAAGCTGGAGGACTGCAGTCCTGTCTGGAAATTGTCTCACATTTCCATTCTCTGGGGGAGGCCACCAATGGTGGAATTCTGTGTGCTCTGTTGAAATTCAGTTCTTGTTTGTTCTTGTAAAAAGGCATAACACGTTACTTCATTTTATTTCCAGTTCTTTCCCCGCTGTCAATTACTAACCGTGTCCTTTTGCTAAAGCATAACCAATACACACATCTTTTTAGATGTGCTTTCTTGAACAACTGAATTCTATTTTCACAGCACACTGTAAACCACCCTGTAAAAATGGAGGCACATGCTTGGCCAGAAATCTCTGTACCTGCCCCTATGGTTTTGTAGGACCAAGATGTGATACAAGTAAGTAAAAAATCATAAGCAAAAAATACAGAAAATTCTTCCTGTTCTTTGGGAACAAAGCAAGTTATAATTTAAATATCTGATGTACTCCTCTAGTGAAATTGTGCCTAATTTCCAGTATTAATATCTGGGAAAGGACTGAAAAATGGATGAAGGATTTTCTGTAACATATTTTTCTTCCCTCTTTGATTGATGGATGGTAGTGATTTGCAACAGGCACTGTGAAAATGGTGGTGAATGTCTCCCTCCAGACATCTGCCAGTGTAGATCTGGATGGTACGGACCAACGTGCAGTACAGGTAACAGGGGACTCCTACAGTTCTACTACATTCCTGGGAGGCCTCTCATAATCTGAAATTTGTAACCATGTTACTCAGACAGCAGCACTGGGTGGCTGCTTAATGCTGGGGTGCCCCCACACCCCTTCTTGTTTCTGCATGCTAGTTCTGATGCCAAGTAGCAGTTCTATAATATAGATCTCAAATTTTTGGATAGAGATTTTAAGTGAATGGCATAATCTGAACTCATGCGAGGCATTTAATCACAATCCTTGCAACAGAAGTAGATATTTTATGGGTTTTATTTTGTTGTCATGGTTCTCACTTTTCTTCACCGTTTGTGCAGCGATGTGTGACCCTGTATGTCTCAATGGTGGCTCCTGTACTAAGCCAGGTGTATGCCTCTGTCCACATGGATTTTATGGAACCCAATGTCAGAATGGTAATCTTTTTTTTTTTCTTTCTCTTCCTGTTGTTATGAGGTAATCAGTAAGAAAGCATTGTTAAGCTTCAGAGAAGTAGTGTACAAACATATATATGTAAAGCTTTTATGGCTGATTCAGTCAATGCTCAAGAAGAGATACTAAAAATTCACATTCTCTCTTGCACTCAACTCTTGAGCAGTGTTCAGCCACTTGACCAGCTGCTTTATATATTATATAGTCTGGTCACTTTTATACACATACACATATACACTGCCAACCTTGACATATTCTTATCTTATTCTGTATTTGGTACTGATGTAGTAAATCCACTAATATGACTTTTAATAGACAGGCTTGGTAGTTTATATCAATGCTTGGCACTATCAGGATTTTAGTGTTGCACTAATTTCCTGGAAGCATGTTGCAAACAAAAAGCAAACAGCAGCCATTCTCCTTTATATCTTTTAGCTGTCTGCAGGCCGCCTTGCAAGAATGGTGGCCACTGTATGAGAAACAACATTTGTACTTGTCCTGATGGTTATACAGGCAGAAGATGTGAAAAAAGTAAGCTAGTGTTAAAATCCTTCCAGAATATGAAAGTAATTAATAAATTGCTCTGTAAACCATTAAAAAGTATTTAACAGCAAATGTTTCTTAATTTAAGGTGTCTGTGAGCCAAGGTGCATGAATGGAGGAAGGTGTGTAGGGCCCAATATTTGCTCTTGTCCTTCAGGTTGGAGTGGAAAAAAATGTAACACACGTAAGTATCATGCAGTTAACAGGAGAACCATGCTCTAAAAGTAATGTATGGCTAAAGGACAGCTCTGACAACAGATAATATGAAGTTATTGCCAAAGAACTCCTAAATATACACACATTGACAAATAGTGATCTGTAACTTGGCAGTAAAATGTAGAATGAGGAACTAATACTATGCAGCTCAGGCTAAATTGTGAGACCAAAATATCCTTTTAATTGTTGAATGACATATACTTCTGTTTCTTTCTCCACTCTTGTCTAAACAAGATGCATCTGTATTTTTGAATACATACAGCTGCAAAGAACTGGGAAAGTGAACAGAAAGAATTTCAGTTTGTACTATAGGACATAAAAAAAAGATATCACAGAAAAAGATCTACACTGAAACATTGGAAAGCTGTGGAAACAGTGGGAAATGATTGGAATAGAAAATGCAATAGGCATAAATCCTCTAGGAAAGATAAAAATAGGACTGTGATGGAAGCACAGCTGTGGATTGTGCTGTATCTTGATGAAGTTATAGATGGCATGTAAATAAAATGTGGCAGCTTGGATAAAGGCACAGTTTGTGTGAAAATCAGCATGAGTATGGATGGTAGAAATACAGTAGATAAAACGTGTCTGTCATATCAGCACACCTGAGGCTCAGATACTGATACAGACAACGAGGTCTCTTATGGCATGGATGAAAAACAGTTCTCCCTATGTTATTTTCTGTAATTATTGGAAAGGCATACTGAAAAAAAAAAAAAATAAAAAAAAAAAAAATCACCCATATTTACAAGGATTGGATATTTTTGGACTCTATGGAAAAGAGATTTCATAATCATAAAATCTGTTAACCAATGAGAAATAGCAGTGTTTTAGAGAAAGATTTAATAAACAGAATGTGCAGAAAAGTGGAAATAGAAAATACTTTAAGATCAAATATTCACGAGTTGATTCTCTGTGAGTTAAGGCTACATAACAGACAGAAAGATCTTTCCCTGAGGTTTGGATTTTGGAAAGGTAAACTTGGAAAAAAAACAACAAAACGGTGTAGTGGCATTGACTTAATATTTCAGGCTTTTGTAGCTGACTGTGTTGTATCAGAAATCTCAATGCATACACTGAGTGCAGGCCTTTTTGTTTCTTGTTCTGTCTAATATTCTGTTGATCTTAGGGTTTTAGTGAAGAAGATGTGACTATTTTGTGTAGAAAGCAGTCAACAATTAGTGAGCATCCTCAAATGTAAATAAAAAATAATCACTTGAGATATAACTGAACCTTGTGATGATGATTTTTGTGCAGCAGTCTGTCTTCAGGAATGTAAGAATGGTGGAGAGTGCATTGGACCCAGTACGTGTCATTGTCCTCCGCAGTGGGAAGGAATCCAGTGTCAAACACGTAAGAATGATGTGGTCTACAATGTAAACTTTTTATTTCTGCACAGTTTAGAATGCTTCAGAAATGCACAATACCTGCAAATCCTGTCCTTTGGCTTATTTTAACAGAAATCTGTGTTAAAGGCAGGACAGAGTACAGATTTCTGTGCACATTCTGAAACTCTCTAGAATAAAAAGATAGTCACGGACCACGCATGCAAATGGATATGTGATATGCTGCTGCAGTAGCCCGGAGAGATCATTGCTATGTACTGCTTTTAAACACACCTTACTCGTGTCCCTCTCTCTATCTCATTTATTCCTTTATTATTATATATAGTCAGCATGTTCCCGTATTATGTCTGCATCTTTGTATATGGAGATGGGGTTGGCAAGAGTATTGTTGGTTCCACAGAACTGTGAAGCTTCCTTCACTGAATTGTTAGATAACTAAAGCCACGTATCCCTGTCTCTTGATCTAGCTGTGTGCAATCAGAAGTGCCTGTTTGGAGGCAAGTGTGTGTCACCTAATGTGTGCTCCTGCCGTCTTGGTTATACTGGAGTCCTCTGTGGGAAGAAAGTTCAGGTAACTGTAGTGTCAAGGTGCCGTTATAGCTGTGGCAATTTGGAAGCCATTATTTAGTCCACCTGTCCAGAAAAGCAGCACAAAATACACCAGGAGTGTTTTGTCTTACTTCTTCATTTCAGTCTCCAGTGAGGGAAAGGTCCTAAAAATCCTGACTTATTCTATTATTTTAGTCATTCCAGTACTTCTGACAATTTTTCCCAACACCTGAAGTAAATTTCCTTTGTTTTTAATTAAGTTGTTTCTTTTCCTAGTGGAGCCATTTTGGAAATGACTTCAACTATAACTCTTTTCTAAAGCACAGCCATTTTGGGAAGGAGTATCCCACTGTTGATTTTCTCAGCTGGTGTCAGGTCAAGCCCTAATATTTTTTTATCTACCTACCTGTCTACACAGTCATTCAGTGTATCCTCCTTTCATGCAAACATTTATTGTTGCCAAGTGTAACTTCGGGCATAGACTTATTTTTTGCATGGTAGTGAACAACGACCATTTCTTTGCTTTGTCAGATTCCTTTGTTTGGGCACTGACTATTTTTTCCAAAAGTTATTTAATTAAGTGTTATTACAACTGTTTTGGGACTTCTGAAGTAGAAAGCATTCCACATCTGTCTGCATCATCTATGATTTTCCTTTTAATTCCAGCAGATTTTAATACTTTTATGATGCAGAATTCACTTTGAAGAGCTGGAACATACCTAATTTTTGCACTGCTTGCTGGTACTATTCCTCTGCATTCATCTTTAATTACATGCCACTGTTCATGCTTGCACTGTTTTCTTTTAGAAACTATTCAGCTCTTCGGTCTCCTGCAACAACCAAAACAATGTAATTTCCTATTTTTTTTCTTTTTAGTACTTTGCCAGAGTCTTTTAATGTAAAATCTATACTGTGACTTCTAGCAATGCAAGTATTTTTTAGTGAGAAGCAGTTTAGGTACAGGGAAAACAGCAACAGATTTTTACTTTCATCCAAGCATTGATTTCTCCCAGCTCATATCCTTTTTTTTTCTTTTTTTTTTTCTTTCTTTATCATGTACAATATACAATGCCATTAACATCTCTGGTTAGATGTCAGATAATTTGCCAAAGGAGTAAATATGTGTAAGAAATCAGAACAGTAAATGACTGCTCCTATGTGCCTTGAAAATATAAAGCTATACATCATGATCACTGTAAAGATAAAACTGTAATGTTTGTGGCATGGATTTCCAAAACACATCATAACAAATGAAATAATTTAGACTTAAGTATTCGCATAAATACATCCTTCAAAGCATCAGCATTTTTTTCTTACTCCATAAAATACATTGCTGATCAGTCGGGCAGTGCTATACCTCTCACTGACAAAATGGGCACATTTTCTTTCTCAAATAAACGAGCGAGCTTTATGCACAACCAGAACTTTATGTTGTATTTCCCCATGTCAGGAAAGCAGAAATTCTTTAAAATTGTTTCTTAAAAAAGTCCATCTATTATATTTACTTATTTTTCCTTCCAAGGTACAAAGACATCGTAATTGAAGAAAGGAAGTATATCAATTAAATGCTGCATGGATCTGTGACACTTGAAAATAGCAAGAAATTTGAAGGCATTCCCAGATCTAATTTAAATGAGGAAAATATTCAGAGTATTTAAAAAAAAATCATGTTAGTTGTGAATTTTTGAAAAGCTTCAGTACAGCAAACTTGTAGTCATTGTAACATGTGTGTTTCTACAATTCTCAGCTACCTCAGAGCCTCTGAATCTTCACCAGATGGAGAGATCTCATGCATCATGCAAACCCAGAATTCCGCAGTCTGTTAATGTAGTCAACTATACTGTGTGTGAGCAAGATTGCAATATCTGCTGAGCACCTCTATGAAAGTAGATGGCACACAATCATTTGGGAATTGTACATTCTGTTTTTAAACATTGTTCATATATGTATTATTTGGAAGCATATAGAAGGAAGAGCACAGGTTTTTTTGTTTGTTTGTTTCTTTTTAACTTTGTTTTCTTTTGTGTAGTAGTGAGGAAGGAGGGGCAGCCTAAAACAAGACTTCAGTAGTAGTGCAGGCAGGGCCATATGGCTCATTAACAGTCAACCAGCAGCAGACTACTTCCAGTTTATCTGTGGCAGGCCTTTGTATCCAGCAGCCAGACTCTGACTCTTCTTCATTATTTACACTCACATGTGTGCATGTGATTACAGAATGACTGCTGTGTCTGTAAGACTCTTTCATGCTCCTATTTTGAAACAGCATTTGGAAAGGTGAGAAAATAATGTTTCTTAGAGAAATGTGACAGTGTTTGACCCAGAGAGATCTTGTGCTGAACCTTAAAATAAGAGCTGGTAACAGTGGGAGTTTGCTGCACATCATGACATCTGTTTACATCTTCTCAGAAAGTATTTGCAAGCAATCCATATGGGTGCTTTTTCCTTTACCTATTGCTCCAACCAATTGTTATCACCAACCAGCAGCAAGACAGTTTTGGAACAAATGAAATTCCAGTTTATTCTACGCTTCCTTCTTCCTTCTGCCTCTCCTTCAGCAAATGAGTTCTGGTAATAAAACTCCCTTTCAGCTCAGCATGTGAATTTACCATTTGGGGCTGTGAGTTGTTTTTCTTACAAAAAAAAAATAAACCTCATTATTTTTAATCTCATGAATCATATCCCATTTAAATGCACTAATTCTGAATAGAAAGAAAATCCTGTTCCTCTTGCTATTTTCTGCCACTATGGGACGCCAACTGCCACTCATGGTTGTAAGAGCTCTCTGAGCTTACATTTCTCACCTTTCCATAGCCCTCTTAATCCATTCTGCAAAGTAAATTAGCATTTTCAGAGCTCAGCACCATTTCAGAATGATAATTTCTAAGTGCCTGGTGCGTATTTCAAAAACGTTTTCAGTCTTCCACTTGCACTGTAAGTTTCAGTGGCTCCATGGCTTTTATTTTTAATCCAGTGTCCAGGTGGCTGGGAACTGTTCTATTATTTAAAACCTGCTTCACTTGAACTGTTTCCTTTCTCACAGCTCACAAAGATCTCTATGAACAAAACCTGACTAGCTATTGGAACTGATGCCTCAAGCTGAAGACTTGAATACACAGTATTTTCTAAATGTGGGCATGCTGATATTGCATAAGCTCATTTTGTAACAGCTCCCACTCCATGCATCATTTAGCTACAGAGGTGGTGCTCTCAACGATGAGGTGCCAGGAACAGCGTTTTGGTTAACGGCTGTGCAACCTTCTGTTCACAAAACTGTACCAATACAAATGCCCTTCTAGGATTTCAGGCTGAATAAAGGGTTCTAATTAATAACTTCTAGTATTTCCCACTGACTTTCCTTGTTGCTAAAGGCAGAAATAACTTCTTTTACGTCTTCCAAATGCAAGCTGAGTGAAGAAAAGCACATCCAGACTTTTGCTACATTAGTAAAAAGCTTGGTGCCAATCTATGCTGTGTTCCTTTAAGCACACAGAGCAGGAAAATTACTAGTACAGGCGTAAGGACGCATACTTCAAAATTTCCCTGTTATTACAGTCCGTTATACATGAAATAGTATTTACTGAATGTAACTAGAAAGCATATTGAAACAATGCAGTAATGCTGCTCAGTTTTACAGAAACTTAGTCAGCAGAAGTTGCATAGTTTACATACACTGGTTTAAAAAAAAAAAATAAAATCTAAACTTACATAGCACAGTCACAAGGTAGGCCAAAAAGAGTTTGGGGGCTTGGAATGGGGGGATGACAGGGTCTGCTGCAGGGTAACTAGTGCCAAGCTGAAATCTCTTACGCTGATTCTTAGCACATTGGAAAGGCTGCATTAATAGGAAAAGGTTTTCATGTAAGTAAATCACTGTTATAGTGTACATACAAAGTTTTTCCATCAGATGAACAGCATCAGATGTCAGTTGGCAGAGAAAATGTGGAGCAGCAGAAGGTAAACTGAGTCAATATGGCGTACAAGAATATTGTTCACTGAATTTTGTTGCATGATTTCCTTATATACTGAAGGTAACTATGTATGTCTGCTAACTCTACCAAAATTGCTCTGCAGGCAGGAGAAGTTCCTTTCCTAATAGCACATTAAACATTGCCCATGATCTTTAAAATGCTGTTTAATGAGTTTTTTTGTAGGAAGTAGTCACTTATATCACAGAAGAAACTACAGTCCTTGCAAGGACTTACCTTCCTACATCTATGTTCATATTACTCAAGATTTCAAAATTAAAAAAATAAAATGAAGTGGGTCACATTTGAAAGTTTCACTCTTTTTACAGGCATTAATATTATTATAGCTGAGGACAGAAAGTGAGTTTGCATTTCCACCTAACAAAAGCAAACCCTTGAAGAATAACCAATGCAAATGGTAGTATATGAGTATAATAGCTTTACCTTCTTGTCAAATAGAATATCTATTGCCCAAATGAGAAAATCCAATGTTTAAATTCTCAGTTAAGCCTTACCACCAGGGTACACATACAGAATCATGTAGGTTAGAAGAGGTTTTCAATGACTGAAGAGATTTATGCTGTTTCTCTTCTAAGAAGGCAGCACGTGGCATAGTTGCGTTAATTTATTCAACTTCTCATCACAGCTCAGTTTAGAAAAAAAATATTTGATTGCAGTGAACCAAGTAACTCCATTCTTGGTACAACCACTGATTGTGGAATATAAAATTTAGATGGTAAATTATACATTACATAAGAAACAAAGCCTTCCACGTGTACCTTTAAAATGACAGAATAATAGAAATACAACCAACGCACCTTCCTTACAACTTTCTCAGTCATTTTAATAAGAATCAAAACATCCATACAAGGTGGTATGCTTAGCTCTACTAAAAAAATAACTTTTTCAGTATGCAAAATTACCTTTTCATTGGAAGATACATCTAGCCCCCAAAACAGCATGCTGTAACTGGCAAGCATGTTCAGCCTTCCAGTGAGTGGAAGGGAATGGAGAAACAAACAAAAGAGAATAAACACTGATAGCTCTTTAAGTAGATTTATGTGCAACTCTGGAAACAATCATTTGGATCTCATTTATAATACAACATGATTATGCTCGACTTTGAAATAACGAGGACATTTACTAAAAATATTGTGCAGATTTAAGTGGATTTTCTTAAAAACAGGAAAAAAAAAAACAACACAGCAAACTCTTCAGCCAGTAGATGGTGCTGCATCCAAGCCGTTTCTAAAATATGCCATCACTTCTGACGTGTTCATCAAATTACTGCTTTATCCATTTTAACTATTTCTAAAAAGGTAACTATTTAAATTAGCAGTTGTTCTCCCCTGCTCAGACACACCTACTACAGGTCTGCTTCATAGGCCTTTGTGGTATATGCCTATAATACATCTCTTAGGTTCTAATTACTACTCTCACGTTTGGCTTCTCTACTGATAGTCAGGCTTTCCAAGAACAATGCTGAGATATCTTTACATTTACATATTTCTACTCACTTTCTCTGAAATCGTGGGGCTGATGCCATTTATTTCTTTCATTCACTGCCCTGCAACTAGCATTTCATTTAAGGTATTCAGCTTCACTTCTGAATGACTAAATTTTTGCTTGATTATCATAGCAAGCTGTGATGCAGACACAGAATTTCACTGTCATAAAACCTCTTCAAGTAGTATTGATGAAGTCATCTTGTTCCATCTGTGAAAACCACTTTTTTTTTTTTTTAAACCAGCATGTCTGAAACATCCAGTGCATCACAGTAAAAGCACCAAAACATACATTCCTCTTGTTCTGTCCCACGTTCACGGCAGCAAATCATCCATAAGAAAAGCTTCTAGCAGGTTTCAAGTGAACTAGTTACAACAGTCTCTGAAGCAAGGGTGGAGAAAGGCTTCTCAACTACACAGAGCAGCAACTACTTCATAAAAGAAAATAGCAGCCTTATAAATATACCATTTAATGTCTTCCATCTGTCTTCACTATGCTTTCTTTCTGTTCTAGACAAGTTTGGTAAACATGAATGCCCCATTTCTTTTATTTCCAGTCAATGTTTGTCAGTTTGTTATCCCTGGAAAAATGCAGCCTTCATTTTCCCTTGGACAGGGATACCATGTTTGGCCTGGTTCAACTTGCGTGTTTTGGCAAAGCTTTCCTGTGCTGTAGCTTTCAAGAAATAGGACAGACAAAACACAGCACAGTGGTTGTTGAAGTCTCAATCAGATCTGCAATCTTATCTGAAGGCTGCAAAACCCAAATGAGGCCAAAATGCCCAGGAGGGAAGCCTCAGCATCCTCTGTGCAGGTGATGTGCAGCAAGAAGGGCTCATCCTCACTGCAGGCCAATAGATCCCCATTATGTTGCTCCTGCAGACACAATCTTGAACATGAATCATCAATGCCTGCATCTCTGTAAGGAAGATAAAGACTCCCCCTATCTTACTCGGATAAGGAAAAGAAATAAATTGGAAGCAGAGAAATGATCAGATACTACAGTTGTAAGAGTGGTCAAGATAAGGACTCTTTTAGGCTATTAGCATGGATTAAGCTTTTAGAAGGTAACAGTGGAACTGTCTTAATGTGTACTTTTTTTTTTTTTTTTTTTAAAATAAAGCTTAACTGATGAAGATCAAATCTGACTGTGGTGAGGGGCGGGAAGTATACACAAATCAATAATCAGGATTTTGATAAGACGCCTTGCAGTTTGCATCTTTCTGAAACATCAGCAAACTTCATGCTTCTTTTTCAACTGTGTCATCTTAACAAAAGTAAGTTATACTTGCACTAACAACCCCTTCTTATAGTCTGAATTAAGGAGGTTTTGTTTCATGTGCTTTTTGAAAAAGCACATTGCTAATAAAACACCACAAATCCAGTCTGAAAAATAAATAATCAAATAGAAGAGCACACATCCGATCTGAAGTATTTTATTTGAAGAGTAAGTTTTACTTCAAGTTCAGCTCTATCAACCACGACATAATAGCTCTGCTTACGAAGAAAAGTGAGAACAGCAGAAAAACATATACTACACATACAGTAGAGTGCATCATACACTACACACAGTTGGATATTTTTAACAGCTTTATTACTATCAGCAATACTTCTCTTTCCATAGAGAAATGAATTTACTCAGAATACTAAAGACAAAAAGCTACCTGACTTCAACTAATTACCACTTAAGTTCCTCCCTATCTCTTCCCTCAGATTTTATCTCTGCATGAAGAGTTACAAGAAATTACAGCTTATCTTTGCTGAAGCTGTTTCATTCCTTTCTTTTCTTTGTGCACTGTAGACCAGAGTAGGGCAGTCGACATCTGCACACATTCGGAGCTATGCATTTTCCTCCATGTTGACAAGGTAGTTTACATACAGCTGAAATGAGATACCAGACACACAATACATCTTCTGCACAACACATGATCATTTTTCTTCGTCTTACTGTGCTAACACAATTGTTCCCTGGTGGACCATGTTGGGACAGCATAAATAAAAGCACAATGGAAGAACCAAAAAGCAATGCTTCTCAATTTATAGCATCATGGCCTTCACTGGAATACAGCCACAGTGCATCTAGTCTTATTTGTGCTCCATTCCCCTTTTGAAATACCATCATTTCTGTTGTTCTTTAAAGTTCAGACTGTCTTTTAGATGGATGTCTCCATGAGAGTGAGGGAATGTAAAACTATAACATGATGGAAAGCGCAGCAGTAACAGCAGAGTAGCAAAGTCCTGGGCTGCAGCAAGTGAGGACAAGCTCAAATGAAGCAGCCATGGATACAAAAACAAAGAAAAGAAGGAAAAAAAAAAAAATCTGCTTACCCTTGGAAGGCATCACGTACACAAAGATCTCCAGTGAGAGATACTTTTGCCTCCACTGCCAACCCTTAAATGAGGTCTGGGGTGGATCCAGGCTCCACCCCACCAGTTACTTAGATGCATGCATCAGAGCCCTCCTGGGATGGCCCTGCCTTCACACCAGGTGCTCAATCACTAGTTCAAGCCCTGATTTAGCATTTCCCCTACAGGGAGCAATAAAAATTTCTTCTGAAACTTCTTCAGGGCAGTTTTTGGATCCACAGATCCACACGCAAACAGTTTCTATGTACTAGGTACTGCTTACACATTGCCATCCTTCCTTAGGAGGAGTGGAGGACCAGAAAGGCAATGGTCAACTAAGCAGGCACAGCCATAAGCGCACCCTCTTGTCATACAGCAGCCAAGATAACACACAAGAGGGCTGCAATTTTCTTATAAGCACCTTTGCTAAGAGAAGTCAAATAGGAAAAAGATCTAGTTAATTCAGGCACGGTTGTTATTTTGATATTCAGAACCTGAGTACTTCTACCATTATTGCTGGTGCAGGGAGTGGAAGCAGGCATTCTGCAATTTCTACGTCCCATACTTACCTTTTAACATCACCCTCTATCTCAATACACTGTTGAATACAAAGAATAAGCATTTTCCCAATCAAATGGGAACATTTGTTTGTTATTGTTTGTTGGACAACATACATATTGCAGAAGAGCTAATACTAGCAAATTTGGACTCCTTGAATCACACAAATATTACATATGCAGGAGGATTTAAACCAGAGACCTTGCACCTACCATATCCAGGTCAAAAGCAACATTTAAGTGAGTTATCTCTCAGCATCCCAGAAAGCAAACAAAAAGCTCTCCTTTTTTCAGCCTCAGGACTATTACCTTTGGCATCAGGGCAGCACTGTTACAGGCACACAGGGCCATGCAGCTCTGAGCAGATTTTATAACCTTCATTTGCTTTTGTGAATCAAAATTTTCTGAAAGTACTTGCTCAGTAGAAATTTTGAGTACAGAAAACTTTCTCTTGCTTTTTTAAAAACACCTAGAGCTGATTCTCCCAATTTATCTTCAAAGTGAAAAGCAAGTTTCAGTTCTCCACATCTGTAAAATTTACTGAAGTTTCTAAACAATATCAATAGTAATAGCATTTCTATAATGGCTGTTTTTTGGTTCTTTAGACTGGAACCTCAGTTTACAGTAAATATTTCAGAAATACAGTGTATTCAAAGTAATGAATTTGGCAACAAATGAGATTTGAATTTGAAGTCACTTGAAGTGAAAAAGTTATGTTTTTCTGACCAAGCTAAAAAGCTATCTATTCCTGACACATATACATAAGATCCCCAGTATGCAGAAGAACTTCTCATTTACTGTTCTAAGACACTTCTAGCAGCTTTGTTAGGCACTGAAGATTTGAACACTGTACTGTATAAATCAAACAAGTAGAGAAGGGATACAAGAAAAATGTCAGAAGTTATTTACCTAAGTGACATGCTCCACCGACCCATCCAGCTGGACAGCTACAAATCCCAGGAGCCACACAAGCTCCATTATTCCGGCAACCTTGAGGGCAAATTGCTAGAAGAAAAGAATGGGAAAGAGAACAGGATTTATAAAACTGATATAAAAGAATCCTGACAGAATGAAATATTCAGAATGATACAAATCAAAATGGCAAAATACATTTTATTCCAGGTCAGATGCTCAACTAGTATTACTCCAAAGGTATTTCCAGGACCAAGGCAACAAAAAAAAAAAAAAAAATTTAATTTAAAAAAAGGAAAAAGAAAATATACATATACAAAGTATTTAAGTTTAAATGTTAACATATACACACTTCAATGTGGAATAACTTGACAGTATTTTTTCTGAATACATACCAGTAATGCAGGTTCTTTGATTCTGTCATAATGTAGTGACACTTCCATAGTTATTAGCCTCTTAATCCTTTTAAAATGTTTTTGTTACTGCTGTTACATTTTTATTGATATGTCCTGAGACAAAAAAAACCCTTGAAACTACTTCAGTGATCTATCCGGCAAATTTTGTTTTTACTACTTGAGTCTCATTAGGCTGCCATCAGGACTTACAGTGTTTAGGGACTGTCAGCACTTCAATCAGCTGTGGTAGAGATGAAGCAGTACTCACCTTCCTGGCACCTTGATCCTGTCCAGCCAGAAGCACAAAGGCACTTCACAACCCCATTGACAGAGATGCATTCCCCGCCATTTTGACAGCCTCCTTCACAGCTTACTGCAGAGAAACAGCATGCACAGTACATTCAGGAGCAGCACAGGTAACTGAGTAATTATCTGTACGTCAATTACTTATTTCATCACATCTGTAACGACTACAAGTTTGAGTATTCACTGCAAGGCACATCATCAGGATTAGCAAGGGTGACAGAACCATGTCAGCACATGCCAACTCAAAATGTAGTTAAAATTAAGCATGAGTTTGTTGACCTTTTAAGAGTACTGAGGGTGCTAACAAACATGATTATCATGGTGCCACAACTGCCCCCCCGCCCCCCCCCCAAAAAAAACAAACAAACAAACAAAACAAACAACTGTAAACCAATAGCTAAGTAGCTACATCACAGCAACTACTGACGTGTTCTTATCAATCTAGCCAAATCAGAGCTGATAAGTCAGTAATATGTGGTCTAGGATTCAGGTATTTAATTTTCTGCCAGTTCCTACATATAACAAGAGGAAGAAGAAGGGGATTATTACTTTGACAAATTAAACTATGACTACACTCCAGTCAAGTGGAGCTTTACTAAAGGCCAACTACGTAAGCCTCCTCATTTCAGAATTGCTCTACATATCAAAGCCCTGAAGGCTTAATTAAGCATTATTTATGCCAGACATATGATTAATATCAACTATGGGCTGCAATATTGCCTCTGAAACATGGCATAATTGCTGTTCTGTACAATCAAATGCATCTTTTCACAAGAATGAATGTAAATATATACAACTTTTTCACTTTAAGGAAAAGAAACAACTATCCTTCATTTTAACAATGAACAGTCTGAATGTCTGCTCAATACTTCACACTTAAGTTTAAATCTTTCTTCTACCACAAGTTATGAGCATGAATTCAGCTAACAGATTTCTGGTACAAATGCTGAACTGCAAGGGCAACGAATCAACTCCAGTATAACCAGAAAAGCTCTTCAGAGCCTGTTTCATGTTCCTCTATCATACAGTATAAGTTGCTGTTTTTAATAACACATTGCACTTCACAGCAAGTTTGCACAGGCTATCAGCCATCATATTTCATCACATCCTTTGCCTCACAGCGAGACCACCAGAAATGTAGTACATTTGCTCAGGTAGAGATCCAAATCTAGCCTATAGCATGAGCACAAACTAAATCCATATTCTACTTTCTCTGTTTAAGAACCTATCATCTTCCTTCTGATTCAGATTACTCTGAAAAGGTGAAGTTCTCCCTGCTACACAGATCCCACCAACCTACACTTTCAGTAGGCTTTTAAGAAATAAAAAAGAGTATTTGAAGTCTTTTGCTAGAAAATGAACTCGACCATGTTCCAGTTTACCTCATCACTTCGGTACTGCTAAGTCCACTCAAAACGAAAGGTTATTTCTCAGTGCATTACACAGTAATGCGTCACAAAGTAGTGTCTCCTGATGAAGATTATATTAACAATTTTTATATCAATGCATTATCAGCGGCATTTGCATTGCCGTTCAATCTCATTAATATCCCAGAGCTATAGTTTGAGGTTCTGCAAATGTAGATATTATCCTGCTAGGTATGCTCAGGTCAAACTCTCTTCATAAAATACACCAAATCCTACAGACAACCCAACATGATTTCAGAGCTGCAAAATCTAGTCAAGTTCCTTCTCAAGTCTCCAAGAGGTTACACTCCATGTAAACTCTTGTAGCTATTTCACATTAGAAAGGATAAAGCAAATGCCCACAGGATAAATATCAAGAATAAACAGAGACTCCAGCAAGGTGCTTCCAGCTGCTCTGAACATGGTTGGAAGGAACGCTCATCAAGTCCTTAGCAACAGCCCAACTAATCTGGAGGTTGGACTCAATGATTTTTAGAGGTCCCTTCCAACCTATACAATTCTATGATTCCATAATTTAACAGTGCCTCTTCACCGAGAACTGATGGTAAGTTTCTAAGAGTCACAGGTTTTTTTGCTGAAAGAAAAACAATGATTTCTTCTTCACTTTCTGGAATATCTTGCTTACTACACTGGTTTCCCCTCAAACTGTTTCAAGATCACTTCCCCCTTTATCCTAGAATTCAAGAATTATCATCAATAGTCTTATAAGTTCCTAACTTAGCAACATTTCCTGGATTGCCCTTTCCAACCCATGCATATACTAGGCTTCACAAAACCATAAAAATTGGTCCTTATAACTCCTCACTATCACTATCACTTTATATCTCCCACTATCACCCAGACCTTGCTATGTGTATCTCTAGCAGCTTGCCCTCAATACTGCCATCTTACAGATGCTACACCAGTTTCAGCTACCTAACACATTAATATCCATCTATTCAAACCACCTGATTATTCAGGAAGTCTGCTATATCACTGAACAGAATTTAAATCATTTAATATCACATAACACATCAACACTGTATTTGCAGGAGTCAAAATTATCTCAAATTCTCCCAATAAATTTCCGTACAGATACTGCATACCATTATCAAGCACACAGACCCTCTAGTTCAGGCATGTCCCACTCACGTGGCCCAGCCCACCCTGCAGCCACCCCGTGCCCCACATGCCATTGTGGCAGTGGCTCTTCCCTGTCGAGTGGCCCAGCCCAGGCACACAGTCACTGCTCAGCAACAGCCAAACACCGCTGTGTGATTGGCACTGTCTGGGCTGAAAGGGGAACATGGGGAGGGTGCTCTGCAGTGCCAGCTCAAGTTATGGCAAATAATTCTATGCAGTTTGATACATTAGCTAAACACAGTCCTGTAAAGAGCAAAAAATATGCAATCATGCTTTCTGTTTTGATAAAGGAATTTGAGAATAGGGTTTAAGATTGTTGTTAAGATCATCAATTTTTTGTTATATTCCAACTCTATTTTCAGTCAACATAACTACATTACCTGCAATTTTTCAAATGGAGTATACTGACATGCAATCAGATATCTGACTCAAAAATATGATCATTTTTTATTTAATTTTTTTTTCATGAGACCTTTATAAGATCTCTCTTACCAGAAGGAAATATCCCTCGCTTCACAATATTCATGTCATCATTTTTTGGCAGTACGTAGGTTTGTGAACAACTGTTTCAAGGATGAAGCACAATAAGAGTAAAATTCCATCAAAAATCTCTGACAAACGCCTTGAGAACTCACTAAGAATTGCAGCCACTGCCACTGAGCCAGACTGATGCATTAGTTTCACAAAAACAAGGTCAAATATCTCACTAGTTTTATGATTTTGTTGCTCTCTTTTTATGTTTTAATTAAAAAAAATGTAAAAAAAAATGGAATGTTTTTCTGCTGTTATACATTAGCTATATTACATATAAAGGCTGTTCCAAAAGTAATGTCTCCTCAAAAGTAATGTTTTATTATGCTGGCCTGTGACACCAGAAATGTCGTCTTGCTGATATGGCAGAAGAGGGTGAACCTTCCAGTGTTCCCTTAAATTTGTTGCCATGTGTCAGATGGCAGCAGAGGGCCAGTCTGACAAAACGGCATCTGACATGGAAGCGTGTATGAAGCAAAGGTGTGTCACTGAATTCTGTCATGTGAAAAAAAAAAAAATGGCATCTACTGACATTCATCAGCATTTGCTGAAGATTTATGGAGGCCAAACAGTGGATGTGAGCACAGTGAGGTGATGGGTGATGTTTCAGCAGTGGCAACAGGTGCTCATCTCCACTGGTGCAGATTTTTACAAGCACTGCATGCAAGCTTTTGTTCTTCAAAATGCAAAAATGCATAGCTAATGATGGTGACTGTGTAGCTGAGAATTTGCCCTATCAAATACTGTGATTGTGCTCTTTGAACCTACTGTAGTTTTCCTGAAAATAAATAGGAGGCATTATGTTCAGAGCAACCTATGTATTTTATATGTGACCTAAGACAATTCCTTCTCACTGAATGTGGTCCAGGCAAGCCAAAAGGCTGAACATCCATGCTTTGGCAACGCATTTTTTGACAGTAAAGTCAGAGGTCTAGGGAATTAAGGTCATTATTTCAAAGTGCATTACAGTCTGAATTTGAGAAGTCCCAAATGCATTTAATCTATTCTCAAACTTTGAGCCTTTCCATGCTAACACTTGTGTTTTACTCACCCTTATGACAGTATCTGCCCCCATAGCCAGGTGGACATCGGCATTTTCCAGGTCTCAGGCACTCCCCACCATTTTTGCATTTTGGATAACATGTTGCTATAAGAAAGATAACAAACGTAGGTGAAACTTACTGAAGCTAATGCTTAAATACATAAGAAACGTGCATTCTTTCAGTCACCAAATGCACAGTTTCTCTTCACATTTCCTAAGATACGTTTGCTCTGCCATCCCATGTTGCACAGGGTAACCCTGCACAGAAAGCATCATTCTGAAGCTCTTAAACACTCAAAACTAAAGAAAAATTTGCATTGTAGACAGAACAGAGAGAAGATGTGGTCGTATTAAAAAGTAAAAAGAATACAGCTTGACTGTGATAGAAGTTTTTGATAATTTAAGGCAAGAAATAGCAGGGGACAAACGAGGTGATAAGAAGAAATGTGCTTAAGCTCAATGTAGCAGAATTCAAGGGAAGTCCAGTCTGACTGCAAATAAATTACTCAGCACACAGCCCTCCTTTTACTAGTCCTAAATCATTCCTCAATCAGATCAGCTTTCTGAGAAAACATTTGTTTATTCACACTCAAATTCTAGGATCCTATGCGTTTCAGAGTCTCATCTGAATTAATTGCAGGTGCGAGATGAATTCTCACCAACACACTTCCTTATCCTTTGCCTGAATAAGTGAGAAGTCTGAAACAGCGGGAAGAAAAAAAGACAAGCGCTGAATAAAACCACTGCTTGGTGTCAGTGTGAGGGCAAAATCCAGTTGAGGAGTAGAGGATTTTTCATATTAATAACTGTAGAATGAGTACTTGCATACAAATAAAGGACACAGACATGTATGATAGAACCATTCAGCACTCAGCACTACATAGCTTTTTTATCAGATACTTAGTTGATTGGAAATATCACAGAGGAGCTCTCAATTTAAGGAAAATTCTATTTCTCTGTTATTTCATAGGTTTATTGTGTTTGTTTTTGTCCCCACAATTGGCAGCAGTATCAAAATATCACTGTGGAGTTGCATACAGACAGAAAGAGTGGCTCTGTCCTGAAGATCAAACAGTTAAATTTGGTATCACTAGTATGAAGAAAGCATAGCAAGTAGGAATCAGTGGTGTGAAACAGGAAAGAAACCAAGAGAATAGCAATGAGATCCTAAAAAGACAGTATTGTGTATTATGCAGTGCTGGGAATCTACACTATGCTTATTGACTAACTGTGACTATCTGGACATCCAAGTACTTAGATATATTTATAGGATAGAACTGAAGACTCTCCATAAGGCTTCAGAAAGCATTTCAACATAGGGCTACAGCTCTGATGAAAAGATACTATGCTGATATCCACAGTCTACAAACTGCACATCTTTTCCTTATGTTAGTTTTACCCTTTGCCAAAATATCTGCAACGGTTCTTTGCCTTCCCAGAACAAGCTTGACTCTATCTATAGGGAAGACCCTGATCTGCAGGTGCTCACCAGAATAAAAGTTATGCTAGAAGCACCTTAAGTATTCCACAATACCTGTGTCCAGAGATCCAAGGACAGCTCATAGGTGGAATCTCCACCAGAACTTCTACATACAGCCTTGCCTGTCTCTGCAATCCCACTTGGAGCAAGACAGCTAAGTAGTAAAAATCTTCTCTAAGCACCTCACTCAACCAGAGAGAATGAGCACTGTAAAAAGTGTAGCTCAATGTTTTTCCTCCGTTACACTCATGATATACAATTCCATGTCTAAAACTATTCTAAAACCTGCCCTAAGCAGACCAGTGTATATTAATTGGGTCCGTTCACCTTGCAATCAAAAATTTAAACAGTTTCAAGACCATCTATTTTAAAGATCAGACTTCTTTCCCCAAAATGTCCTTTTTTTTTTTTTTAATTTTTGTTTGTTTGTTTAAATGATGGAACAGATCTTCCCCTTTCTATCTGTATTCTCAAGAGCCAGTGAATGTAAAACACATCACCCTCTTATTTGCCCCTTTCAAGACCATGATATTCACTTTAAAAAAAAAAAGCACAACACACACAGTTAGATGCAGTTTGCTGCACCTGCCACACATCCCATTTCAAAGCTTGAAAAAAATTACATTTCAGACGAAGGCAAAGCAGCTTTTCCTGGTTACTGAGTTTTAGCCACAGAACTCTATAGTTAAACTTCTCAAGACATGGATCAGAACTCAGCCGTGTTGCGCACACCCACGGGAACAAGCTTTAAAACCTAACCCAGCTCCACACCTGCCAGCACAGCAGTGGGACATACCAGCGACTGTGGGCAGGTGACACCTGGGAAATGAGATTTTCCGAGCACAACGCAGTCTGAGTAAGCAAGGGATGCAGAGAGCAACCTGCCTTCTGCACACCTTTTTTGGCTTCTCCTTAATACGCATCTCACTAATCCCACCTAGAAACATCAGTTCACGTTCCTCACGTCTGGACGGCAGTCAAGCCTCAAAAAACACTTCTCCTTGCTCAGGGAAGTTTACACGTCCATAGAGAAAACGACAAAAAACAAGCCGATGCAGCAGCCTAGGGCTTTTAGGCAACTTTCACGTGGAAAACGTGACCTACCACAGTACCGCCGCACCACCTCTCGCGCGCCCTGCCCCTCACCCCTAGCCCCCCGCCCCGCCGTTACCGTGCTGGCAGAGCTCGCCCTCGTAGCCTTTGGAGCAGAGGCAGGTGCCGTTGCCGAGGCACAGCCCGCCGTGCAGGCAGCGCGGGCTGCAGGCCGCCACCGGGCCCCAGCTGAGGGGCCGGCCCGCCCCGCGGGAGTACTGCGGGTACTGGGCGCTGCCGCCCCGCATCCCGCACAGCACCAGCCACAGCCCCAGCAGCAGGCGGAGCCCCCCGCGGCCCCCGGCCCGCCGTGCCATGGCCGGGACGTTCCGCTCGGCTCCCGCTCTCTTCTCTTTCTCCCTTCGCTCATTCACGCTCCCGTCGTTTTTCTCCTTTCGGTGTTCCTCCACTCCTCCCCCTCCTCACCCTTTCACCCCCATTTTAGCGCCTCTCGCCATCAACCTCCCGCCTCTCCGCGGCCGCCCCCTGCCTCTCCACGTCAGGCTGAGCGCGAGGTGCGGGGCCGAGCCCTGGGTTACAAACCTCAGTTGCTCCGCTGCAGGCTTGCAGGCCTTTGTCCTGCCTTCTGCTAGCTGAGATTAAACCTCCCAGTTGTTAAGCAAAGAATTTCACTCACTGCTTGTAAATCTCAGGAGTCAGTACTGGGACCAGTGCTCTTTCATATCTTCATCAGTGACATTCACAGTGGGATTGAGTGCACCCTCAGCAAGTTTGCAGACGATTCCAAGCTGTGTGGTGTGGTCAACACTCAAGGGATAGAATGACATTCTGAGAGACCAGGACAGGCTCCAGCAGTGGGCCTAGGGGAACCTTATGAGATTCAACAAAGCCAAGAGCGAGGTCTTGCACCTGGGTTGCAGCAACCTTCACTATCACTACAAGCTGGGGGATGTAAGGACAGAGCACAGCCCTGCCGATAAGGAACTGAGGGTACTGGCAGATGGCAGCTGAACATGAGCCAGCAGTGTGCCCTCACAGCCCAGAAAGCCAATCCTGGGCTGACGGAGATTTGGACTGCATGACCTTTAAAGGTTCCCTTCCAACTTAAAAGATGCTGTGATTCTAACCTGGAAAAGCTAGTGCTACATGAAAAAAGAAACAACAACAACAACAACAAACAGAATAGGAGAAAGATAAACACAATATAAAGAGTTTAATGACTGAGCAGCTACTGGCTGGTTATTTAGCTGGACTAAGTTCTACGCAGTTCTGATGAGATCATTTTACCATGAAACTTAGAAGTGGACCATACCAGTTATTGGCTATTGCACCTGTTTACAGGATGACACCTTTTAGCCACAACTCTTGTAATGTAACTGATCTCTCACCTCTTGTGAACTAGAAACCTTAACTTCTCCTCATTTTTATCTCAAAGGTCAGGCTCAGGTGTGAACACTGTGTCATAGTGCTTCAGAGATAGCTTGAGGAAGGGAAAGGACTGAGGTATGGAACTCAATGCCATTTACAGACAGGAAAAAGAGAATGAATATGTTTCAAGAGGGCTCCTCACCCAGCATGAAGTCTCTGGGAATATATTGTTTGAATAACATTCTGCAACAAATAAATACCAATGTTTTAGTTCAAATGTGAAAATATCTTCAGGTACAAGAACACACACACACACACACACAAAAAAAAAAAAAAAGGGAGAGAAAATGTTTTCCCCCTCATTACTGCCCATCTTTCATGAGCATTTCCTATCATTTTTAAGTATTTCCCAGAGAAAGCACATGCTTTCAATGCCGAGATTGAGCCCAAGAGAGTATTTTTAGAAGAGTTTTATTGACTAATAGCAATAAAAAGACAGTAAAAACACTTACACAAAGGATAGAGAAAACATACTTCTTCAGAAAAGTGAAATAAACCTCATATCTCCTGTAAAACCAGGGAAAAGCAAGCCTTACTTAAGCTGTGAGATTTGGCTTTGAATTTGTTTCATGATGTCATGAAGCAGCTTGATTTGCTGACTAGAAGCAGTAGTACAACCTGATAACTGAATTCACTGGGATTAGAAATTAAAGTTTGTAATTGTTGGAATAAAAGGAAAAAAAACCAACCTATTTCTGTCAGAAAGAATTGATTTCATATCAGTGAAGTGTGGAACATACGCTTCGTAGAGAGATGAAAATACAAGGAAAATCTGTTACTAATATTACAGAGAGCTTTTTTTTTTTTTTTTTTTTTTTTTTTTTTTTTTTTTTGTAAAGATTAAGGTACACATGTTATAATCTTTGCAAAACCATACTTAGCCTTTCAGAGAGCAAAGAGTTATGTTAAACGATTAAACAGGAGAACCCTATATGACTAGTACTTAATTGCCAAAAATGGGCACAAATTCTCCTCTTGTTTGTACCCAGGCAAGCAGAGCAAATTTAGGCAATACCAATACACAATTACATTCATTGCTAATTTGCAAACACCCTTTCAAGTAATACTGATGCTGAATGAAAACACCAATGATATAATTACTTGTGCTCATGTTATTATAGTTGGCAAGTTTACTATCTAGAATAAAAGTGTCCACATCCTTTTCCTATTGCAGTTCCAGTTGTATATTCATATTCAGTATTCCCTTTTGTAAATGTAAGGGTAATTGGATTGTGTAGATATAGCACTCTTGGTGAAATTGCTTGTCAGATATATATTAGGGAATAAATTCTTTCCAAATGGAATAGCTTTGTTTATGCCAATCCCACAAGAGCAGAAGGAGAGAAAGAATGGAGACACTGACTGTGGACTATATTGTTCTCTGAGTACATCATAATTTTACAGTTCCTCAAGTTCTGCCTGTAATTTTGACCATACTGAGTACTTCACATAATTATTTTTCTATTTTTGACTTTTCTCCTTATGATGGTTTAGCATGAAAGTGTGTGTTTCTGATATTAATGCCTAGCAACAGTTCATTCACACCAAGCTCTTTTCAGGTTTTAATGACTATTCTCATTATTCATGTCGAGAGTCTGATTTTTAGAGTACTATTTGTTTTCAGTCCCTTATCCTATCTTCTCTATTCCAAAAAGATGACTTGTGGTAGCTCAGATTAATTAAGACTCCCCCCTTCTTTCTTTTCTCCTTTCTTTTTTAATTGCATCTCTTCCCAGGTTTCATTTGAGGATCTTAAAGTAATTAATAAGAAAGGAAATAATCGTAGTTTGAAATATGGCAGGTGCCCCTTCAATTGAGCTAATTAAATGCAAAGACTATATTAAATAAGCTTGTCCAGGTGTTTCATTGAATGAAATAGATTTGTTTAAACATTATCTTATGTAGGAAGGATTAAGTTTCTTCACCATCTTTGTGCGTCTAAATTCATCTCAGGGCTTATCAAATTTGCTGAGTGCATGTCTGCATTTTAAGGGGGCTTGTACCATATCAACAGGGGTTTTCACTGAAAACAGAAGTGCCTGCATGCATCAGACATGTTTTAGTCCTAGAAGCAGGATCTTATTTAAAAAAAAAAAAAAAAAAAAAAAAAAAAAAAATTCCAGTTAATGAGGTTGCTAATAGAGTTCACTTTTCACAAAGAAAACTCACATTCAGTCATGTTATAATTGTTATACTTGACTCTTACCTTCAAACTGAATAGCAGATAAAGCGGTTTTAGAACCAGGACATTCAGGGGCTCGTCTCTTGCTTTTTTAAGCAGTTGAGGAAGGATTGTGAACATTCTTCTGTTTGCTGGCTACATGCATCATAGATAGTAATATTTAACAGCCCCACTGGGGGTGTTGCTCTTCAGCCTAGAGAATAAGACAGTGATGATGTCAAACCTGCATTATAGCCCAAACTAAGGACCTCAGCTGTGATTCTGCTCCATGTAAGGCATAACAGATACAAGGACAGAGCTCTCCATGAAACGCCGCTTTGTTCCAGTTTGTGCATGTTGCCCCTTGTCCTGTCTCTGGGCAACACTAAGAGCCTGTCCCCATCCTCGGCATCCATGCTTTAGACTTTCATAAACATTGATAAGATCCTTGCTCAGTCTTGTCTTTTCTAGGCTGAACAGTCGCAGGGCTCTCAGCTTTTCCTCTGAAAGGAGATACACTGGGACCCTCATCATCTTTGTGGCCTTCTAGTGGACTTTCCTTAAAAGTTCCCTGCCTTTCTTGAACAAGGAAGCCCAGAACTGCACACAGTACTCCAGATGTGACCTTACCAAGACAGGAGTGGGGGGGGATAACCTGCTGGTCACATTCTTTTTAATGTACCCCGGATGCCATTGGCCTTCTCAGCCACACAGACATCTCACAACTAACCTATTGTCCATCAGAACACCTAGGTCCTTCTCTGCAGAGCACTTCTTCAGCAGGTCAGCCCTTAACCTGTACTGATGCATGTAGTTATTCCTGTCCAGGTGTAGGACTCTGCATTTGCAGAACCTCATGAAGTTCCTCTCCACCCAACTCTCCAGCCCATCCAGATTTTGCTGAACAGCCTGCTGATAAACTTGCTGAGGGATAGAGTGCATCCTCAGCAAATTCGATTTATGTCTTTCATGTGCAGAAATTACTGCTAAGGACCAAAGTGCAGATGAACTGACTCCTAGATGCTTAAGTATGACTGCCTTTGGAGCCATTCAGAAACCAACTTGTCTTCAGCACTGAGGTATCATGCTCCACATCCCAGCAAGTAAAGGGCATGATATTGCAAGGTTCCCAATACCTTGAATTTTGGCATGGTATGAAGTTTAAAGGGCTTGGTATTTTGCAAAGACAAGCTAAAGCAGTTCTTTTCTTCTTTACCCTGCTGAGGTGCTAAAGTCAGCTTGCTAGCAGATAAAAAGAATTTGATTTCCTCACTACTTGAGGGCTCCCAACCATGTCTCATAAATAAACAATTTTTTTGTTCACTGAATCTTATCTTTTGCCATCAAAGAAATTTGGCATAATATCCAATGAAAAGAATAATTGAATAGCACTTGGTGTAACTATTGAGTGTAACTCAGATACCACACCACTGAACACAGTATAAATACCAGGGACCTAATGTTCTGTAAATTAATTGAAGTAGAAAGTCTGTATTCACAATTCATCCTGATAAAGAAAATCTCAGGAGAGTAAATCACACACAGCCAGTATGAAGTAGTTAGTTTTTTATTGTGCTAAAAGTTAAATGTCAGCCTCACAGGATTCTGCTTTGTATCCATCAGCTGCTCACATGAGGTATCAAATGTGGTATTAATCATTTGATACTAATATAGTTATTATTGTACTGTAATCCCTGCACTCTTTTGCTGATGTAAGCCAAAGTGACACAACTCAAGCTGCCCTGGAGCAAAAACCAGTGTCTGAGGAAGTATCCAAAGATTCATCTTTGAGACATAAAGATATCACTTTGTCTGACACAAAGATGTTGCCAACTTTATGGTGAATGTGTCT